TTTACCAGCCTTAATTGAGTGATAGACCGTAGTTCCACCATTGCACCCAGGAAATCATATGCGTGTATTTTGGCTGGTGATGTCATAGATTTTTTGTCGCATTTCATTTTTTCGAAAGGCGAATGGTCAATTTTTTCTCCAAATTTTGTGCGTTTGTTGTTCAAAAATTTTGCACTTAACTCTAGTACTCTTAACGCTTTTTTTCTATGAAAACTTCCAATGGCCTGTCAGACCCGTATGTGTATTACATTGATTTTCACTAATTTTGAGACTATTACTAGGAAACCGAGGATCATTTGAGCACATAGATCGAAAATTGCATGATTTAATCTCTTTGTAAGGCTCGTTTTATTGTGCGGCGGGATTCACTACGAGGATCTAAAATGACGAAGTGCCCTCAAGTCTTTATTCATACTACGAAGGCATCTCTTCAGCATGAATAGTTGCTTTACAAATCATGCTCAGAACATCGCGCTGCATCAAAATTGAAGCACATGAGCTACTCACCACTTATCATGTATGCAATTATTTGTACTGAAGAGATATCTTTGTGGTATAAAGGAAGAACTGAAAGCGTTCTGTCATTTTGGATCCTCGAAGTAAAGCCCACAGTTAGCGTCGCGCCGCGCCGCGGGTGAAGCGGTGAGTGCCTGGACAGTCAGAACGCCTTCAATTACGTGCGTATGCAATACGGACATCCAAGGAGCTCGAATAGTTGCATCAAGGAGTTCGAATATTTGTATGGTAAGTATTTGTCACATTCAACACCAAGTGAGGACGCTTTGAATGGGTTATAGGACATTTCGTCAACGATTTTTTGTGCGCGCACCTGTTTTTTCCAGTAATTTACGTCAGCGCGTTTTTTCGGCACGGGAGTTTTGGTCCAGTTGAGACCCAAAGTTAATTGGCCCACATGTAAATACAAACGACAATTGCTCACGACGTTTTTGGATGAAAATATATAATGTCTTGGAAGAATGAGGGTTTGCTTGTTTTTTTGTTTTGTCTGTTTGGTCCAACGGAGAATAATATATAGTTGAGAGTTTTGGTAAAAATGGGGGAGCGTCAATTCCATGAGACAAAAGTCACTAAAACTCTCTACACCTCTTTGGTGTTAATAGGACTTAATTATCTTTTAAGAAATTCCCATTTTGTTATACCTGAACCGGATAAACCTCTATATTTGCCTCAGCTGAAAGCTCTTAGATTTTTCCTGTGTACGATAAGTATATTGCTTCATTTTGCGAGGAAAGATCTGTACTTTTAAAGGATGCCTGTCATTCTTAATATGTTCAATTTCGTATAATACTGTGCAACACCTCTGTTGTGAAATAGTTGCCACCGGTGCCGCCGCACGGCGCGGCGGGCGGGCGGTCAGCACGAAACGCGGATTGGCGCCTACAGACCTAAGTGGATACTTCAAGCATTGTGCAATGCGTGAAGTGTCCACTTAGGTTTGCAGGCGCCAGTGAGCCTCTCGAGCAGCGGCAGCACGCCGCTCTGCTCTGTTACGCTTTAATATTTATACTAGCATAGTCAGCGTTTTTTAACTCATGATTTTGAAATGTTTGCACACTCTTCATTGATTATTCTCATTTAAATTGATGGGGAAAAAATATGTATCAATTTATCAAAGGAGAAGAATAATATAATGTGTGTTTTTTAAATATTGGTGATTCCGTGCCAAATTTAATGATTTCCAAAGCACTTTAATTTTTTCTTTTACATTTTGTGCTTTTATTGTGCTGCAGCGAGGTGTACACGCAACGAAACGCTCAAAATTTGATGTATTTGACTCTAAAAGATCGATGTACAAATGGGTTAAAACTAAAGATTGCGATTCTTGGTTTTTTTCCCTCTTTTATTCATGTTTGCAGTTTCTGTCGGCACAACTGCGGCTCATTGAGATTAATGTCGCTTGAAAAAGGTTTTACACATTTTACAAAATTGACGTGAACGTACCCTGATTTCTTCGATGACGTCTGGATTTCGGAAATTCAAATCGGGCTGCTCTTTGTAAAAAGCGTGGTAGTAAAATTGCTTCCTCTCTTCGTTCCATTCCCACGCTGACGTACCCCCGAGCATTGGGACTATTATCTGTAAAATTATTCAACCAACACCGATATTACGATGCTTAGTAAGAGTGAAATCAATTATGATGTTCATAATGTTGCTTAGTAATAGACGATGGATGCACCAAAAACATGTTTGACTTGAGCATGATGATTCTTGTATTTGTCGCAAAAAGTTTTTTTTTTTTTAAATTTTGATTCGATCCGGATTTCTCCAGTTACCAGAGATCATACTCGGGTTAAGCAAAAAAAGGAGCTTTTAAGAAAATAAGTCTTGGCGACAACTTTAGACTTTTTCAGCGTTTGCTGAAATAGATTTGGTAGTTTGTATTCTCCTGAATTGCTGCATGTCTCTTTCCCTTAGTTGTTTACATCATAGTAAAATTTGATTTCACCTAGAATCTACATTAATTCAATGTCAGTGTTTAAGAATGCAACACGCATTGATCGTAGATCGTTCGGCAAAAATTTAATGGTTATACATGGTAACGCGAGTTAATTAAACAACTTTCAGGTTTATTACTTCGAGTTTTAGTGTACAACTATTTACTTTCTTTTGAAACATGCGAGACAAACTTATTTTTAACTCTCTAGCTTAAAAACATCGTGTTTAACTCCTCTCTTGGCTGGAATTTGGAAATTTCAACCAATTTTACTATGACTTAAAGGAAGCAAGGGACGAAGATTTTAGTTCACGGCAATACGAAACATCAAATCTTGAGTTTTGTTTGACATGTCGAATATCAAGTCCCGAAATAAAAGTGGGCAAAAAATAAACCGTCGCAAGTAAGCTGAAAATATAGTATCATTCTTAGTTAGGAAATATGTAAGCAGCCAGTGCAGTTAATCGTGAAATTTATCTCCTTACTGCGCCTTATGCCACAAACCACCTCATCAACCGCAGAACAAACATTGTTTGCATGTTCAAACAATTGAAGGCGCTCGCTGAAGCGGAGACAGCAGACTGAGGCGGATTATTATTTCTGTTTGACGCAAAGACGCTGCGGCAGCAGTCCACTTGGCTTGTTTAAAATCAGTTTGTAAAAGCTTGTATCAGTTTTACTGAGAACACTTGTGAATTATACCTACAAGCAGACCAACGGATGGAAATGATCCGTAGGAATTTTAACTCACAATCAGTGCCTGAGAGGCCTTTCCCCCAGTAATTCGTTCAAAAATCTTCGATTACTCAACAGCCTTGATATGTATTAATATAATAAAATGAGATTAGAAGTTGAATTAAATAATTTAAAATTTGCTCATAATCTACATTTTGGTTCTTGAATTAATGAAAGTACTATTTTCAGTATTTTATAAATATATTCTATTGTTCCATATAAGCGATGTATCTCAACGGAGAAATGTAGGGACATTCCGGAACACTAACTAACTTTTGAATGATGAAATGCAAATCTGTGAACGAAAGTTAGATCATGAAACCATACTTACCCATTTGTTTGGAGGAATTGGTTTACCACTGTCCCACCCTATTGGATCTTTCCAGATGTAGTAATCTGTGTATTTACCCTCTTTTTTGACAGACTTCTTGAACCATTCGTGCTGGTCACTTGTGTGGTTTGGAACAAAATCTATTATTATCTCGATTCCTGAAATTAATGATGAAAGTAATAATATTTATCACCGCTGTGTGACATTAAATGGAACGGGCTTTGCAATACTATCTCTATTTTGTCTTCGGACTCCTCGGTGAATTTCTTCCCACGAGGAATGCCTCAGTTTTATTTTGTAAATTGCCATTCTCTATTTTTTTTTTTTTTTTTTTTTTTTTTTTTTTTTTTATCATCATGCGACAATGAATTGACTCGCAAATAACTTATTTCAGTCCTATAATCAAATAAAGTAAGCGCGCTGCAATGTTTCATTTCCAGAGCATACTGCTATTTCATCTCCTCCTTAACTAACAGTGAATCGTTTAAAATGATTATTAAAGTGATATTAACTCTTGTGTCAAACTTAGGCTGGCGCCTCTGCAAAATGTTACATGTGGTTTTTATTTTCATGGATCATCACTCGGTACCCTCCACAGGTGGCAATTAAAAATCCCATTTGTGAAAGTTCTTGTGAAGGAAACTTTTTTTGTTTTTTTGTTTGCTGTTTGCATTTTTTTCTGTGAGCGAACGGATGAACAATTACTAAAATAATATTTGAAAAACCAACGTTTTCCTAGAAATTAAATTTATTCTGTGAGTTTTAAAAAATAGACTTAATTTTGAGCTTTTGTGAAATTTTCTTGGAGAAGGAGTGACATTATTACTTAAAAAAGACTATACAATAAGGTTAGTCGAAAAAAAAATTGAGCTCTACATGATGAAACTATCAAACACTTACCGTACTTATCCCTGAAAGTTCTCAACATCCTCTCAAAATCTTCCATCGTGCCATATTGAGGGTCTATGTCCCTGAAGTCGCTAATATCATAGCCATTATCAACCTTCGGCGATTTGTAAAAAGGGTTCAACCATACTGCCCCAACTCCTAACTCAGCTAAGTAACTTGCTTTCTCTTCAATTCCTGAAAAGAAAATTTGAAGGAAAAAAGAGTAAATCGTGGCTTATAATCGTAAACTCATTTGAAAGCGTTTATATTGAAGTTCATGTTGTTTAAGAAAAAAAGTTATGTGTCAACCATATTTATCATAAAACTTAAAGTCCAGCTCAGGTGATTGTTTTGGACTAAAAGTGCGACAAATCGATCTCAAAAAAGAGAGAAATGGATTTTCTAATGAATTACCAAACTCTTGAAAGCTATCGATTCAAAACGTGTCTTTTCTACTTGTCACTCTTTGTAAAGTTTCTTTAAAGAGGGTTACCTATACAAAATCGGCGATTTTACCCCCCTCTTGGATTTTGCCCGGAGTTGGATATGTTGCTCCCTATCACAAGACACGCATTTTTCCGGCGTTGACAAGTTCACCCGAAATTTTTCCCGCGCGCTACAGCGTTGCCAAGTTGAAAACAGGCAAATTCCGTAAGTGGCGTTAAAATTGAGCTATGAAGTTGCGGTTTTAACGAAAATTCTCTAAAAATTGCGTACTTTTAGGAAATGACTATCAATTTAATGTCGCATTAATTTTAACATGCATTGTTGCCAATTTTTCGATTTTTTAATTCGACTAATTTTACAAATCCGCAAATACCCAAAAAAGCTATCTTCAAATTTGAACAAAAAGTTGTCTAATCGATAGTTCGTTCGATTCAGTATCCATCGATATATTATAACTCGCTGGGAAACTTTTGATTCGCGAGATATCATCAGTTTTGTAAACAGCTTTATGGAGTGACGACGCTTTTTGAGTCCGGGCGGATAGAAATTTTAGCCTCCAAAAACACAGGTCAGCATTAATTCCATGGTTTCCTATGTAATTTTTGGCGCTGAATCCGAATTTGACCATTTCATAACAAAATTGTCACAAAGAAGTTGCCAAATTGGGCAAAAATGGCTTAAAATCGGCCTTTTTGGCGGATTATGGCCAGTGACTTGCCAGGAGTTGATCAGACGACAAAATTGGTTATTTCCACAGTTAAAACTCGTTGAACTTTCTAGAAGCTGAGTCAAAGCTTCTTTGGGTATTTGCGGATTTGTAAAATTAGTCGAATTAAAAAATCGAAAAATTGGCAACAATGCATGTTAAAATTAATGCGACATTAAATTGATGGTCATTTCCTAAAAGTACGCAATTTTTAGAGAATTTTCGTTAAAACCGCAACTTCATAGCTCAATTTTAACGCCACTTACGGAATTTGCCTGTTTTCAACTTGGCAACGCTGTAGCGCGCGGGAAAAATTTCGGGTGAACTTGTCAACGCCGGAAAAATGCGTGTCTTGTGATAGGGAGCAACATATCCAACTCCGGGCAAAATCCAAGAGGGGGGTAAAGTCGCCGATTTTGTATAACCCTCTTTTATCCACGATTACATTTATAAGGAAATGAGGAAATAAGGATAATCCATGGGGGATTTTATTCCTGCATTCATGAAGAAAAATGACTCTTCAGGATAAATAAAACATTTTCAGATATAATGTGAGGTCCCCCCCCCCAGAAAAGTAGAATCACTAATCAAAGCAGCATTATATCGTGTGGGATTGGCTTACCTACTTTACTATGTTATATTGTATAGGTTGAAAAAGAGCTGTAACTTGAGTTGAGCATGCACTACTCATTTTACCTCCAATGATCACGGTTTTTTTTCTTAAGTGTACAACGGTAGAATGTAACTGAGTTTTAATATATCACAGGAACATATAATTTTTCTAAAAAATGATTCTAATATATACTAGATAGCCTCATAGCTAACATATGAATCTTAATGTCAATTTTTGCTCTTGTTTTTGTCGAATGGTCTGGTACTCAAGGAGACAGCAATAGGTTTACATTTTGTAATGTTTTAGTTCATCCTCTCTGTTACAAATCCGTTAATCTCTGTTACGTTTTCTCTGTTACAAATCCTGGGACAGTGTAGAGGGAATCAGAAAATCACGGAAACCGAATGATCACAGGATAATGTAGAGAGTATTTCCATCACCTCTCTTCCTTTCGGAAGGAAAGACTAGAGCAAATTGAACTTGAAAATTCTGGCTCATGCAATTAATACGTCACATCTAGCCTTCACACGGCTTTACAGTCTTTTTGGATCAACGTGCCATCTTTTTTTTATACATCGCTGAATCATGATAAACTGTCAAGGCGACCTTTTAATTCAAGCTTAAAAGCAGAAAATTGACGCACATGGGTGCTATGGCTCAGCTTTTTACTAATGACTCATGATGACAGACTAAGTTATCGTGCACGTATTGAAATCATGTGTTTTTGTGAGCCATTTGAAGAGGAGTATCAGGACGAAGGTTACGTCAGCCTGTAACTCTAAGAAAAATAAATTTCGATATAAATAATTATATTAAGAAATTTTTCAGATTTTCTGCGTTATGTTTGGGGAAAAATTAAGGGGTAAGGGTTCAAGCCAGGCCTACTTGAGTCAACAGGGGAGTGGGGGGGGGGAGGGGAGCGAGATATTGACTTACGGGCTGCTTACACAGCGAGGGGAGGGGGTGGTCAAAAAGTCGGCCAAAATGGCTTAAGTAATATTTTAACGACCCCTAAGTTTCCTTCTTTTCAACTAAAGCTTTTTCTTATTCTAACTGGACCGCTTTAAACAGAAAAGAACCAAGCCACATCAGCTATTGCCAAATTTAATTTTTTACTAGAAAACGTTTGTGCGGATTTGTGTGTAAATTTTAGTGAATTTTTGCATATTAAGGAGCAAATTTCCTAAAATTCTCAAAGGAATCCGCACAAACGCTCTCTTGTAAAAAATTAAATTGCCCAGTTGAATTGGCTTGGTTCCTCCCAGTTCAACGCGGTCTACTTCATGTCGTCTACTGAAAAACGCGGAGATGTATACCTCGCAAGTCGCCGATACCATCACCGTTGGAGTCGTAGAAGGACAGAGGGTAAACCTGATAGATGACCGTGTTCTCCCACCATTTCTCTGCCAAAGTTCCGGAGGCGAGAACCAATACCGACAACGCCGAGAAAACGCGGCCCGCCATTACGCACTTGATCCGACGTTTGGTTGGCTCTCGCCGATCGCCCTCTTTTTAACCTGTCCCCGACCGTCTGTTCCTGGAAATTTTTCCCACAGATTTTCTGCCTTATTATTTCCTGGGATCATGCTGCATGACGGTGGAGGTTGTCAGGTTGAGAGTCACGGCCTTCTAGCATCATTGGTGATTTTTTCAGATTGGCAATACGGTTTTTCCTCCATCAAGATCAATTATACCGGGATTGGCAAAAACGCTCGATAGGCCATACATTGATGTGCCACAAATGAGGGGAGGGGGGAGGGCTTAAAAAATGTTGATATTTCTTTTAGGAGGGGGTGCATCCCTTCATGCCGGGATGGGCAAAAAAAACTCTATAAACCATAAATTGATGTGCCAGACGTAAGGGGAGGGCGGTCCTCATTAAAAATTGTTTAATTTTTTTTTTAGGAGGGGGTGCTTCCCTTCCAGGCCCCCCGGGGGCCGGGGTGTCATGACCCTCCACACAGTTTTCTCCTCGATGATTAGGACGACGCGACAGTCCGAAACCGGAAAATTTTAACTCAATAATTGAAAAAGTTATGGCGTATTGAGCATTTTATCCCCCCATCCCGGTAGATATCGATTTTAGGTGAGGCATTTGCCTCTTCTGGGGTCGATTGTCATACACACATATTTAAATGAAGGCCAGACAGGATTGTCGACTTACGCGAACCACTACTGATTAGTAAGAAAGACATATCGACGATGTAAGTCGACAATCACATATCTCGTTTGCGGTGTCTGAAAATATCCGCTTCTATGTTATTTTTTTAAAGGAGAATAAATCGACATCATTCCTTGAAGTTTTTGCAGAATTTTCTCCGCATGGGGAAGAAAAATCACGGTACTTTTAAAGAATTGCCATTGGGTAGTTTTCCGTTTAAAAAATAAAGTATGGCAGGAAGTCTGCGACGTCACAAACCGAGTTATGTGATTGTCGACTTACACCGTCGATATATCGATGGTGAAACTGCAGAAATGGGTATGTCGGTTTGCAGCATTGCGGACTTCCTGTCATCATTCCTTTTTTATATGAAAAACCACTAAACGTCGTTTCTTAAAAACTTCGGTGATTTTTCTTCTCTGTGTGAAGAATATTCTGTGAAAATTCCAAGTCAAGATGATGCTTCGGTTTCGTGTAAAAATTGTAATAGGACCAACGATTTTGAATAACCGTAACCGAGATAACCATTTTGCAGTTTCACTAGCAATACGTCAATTATGACATCTTCGGTAGAAGGATTTATGAGGCTCACAATGCAGCTAAGATTATGCAATTTCACATGCCCATCATTTTCAAAAAAATGAATGAATTACTGCCATATTCTTCCCATAGAAGCACAGGGAAAAATTCAATGCTTGAGGAGAAAGTTATATTAAAGCCTTTAAATATCCGAGAGATTAACAGATCTATGAGCCGCACAATTTTTGTATATGTAATATTTGCAAGCCATCTGGGCACATTCACATCAAGGTGTTGTCTCCACAGTGGCCGTTCACGGGAGAGCGGACTTAAGTTGATTGAGCAGGGCTGGATTAAGGGCGGCGGCATGGCGGCAAAATTTAGGGGGTGGCAAATTTTGCAATCTTTTTGAATGTAAGTATCAACAAACGAGAGAAAATAATCGGATCCCGAAAATAAATTACAAACGAGAAAAGGCGACAAAATTTCTCATTTCCTGAGAGTAAAAGTAATGTAATTTCTAATTTTCTCGTCTTTCGGTGATACAAGAGACAACACCTTTAATTAGTCGAGTTAAGAGAGAAACCATACACGCAATTTGACTTGGAGCGGAGCGGCGCGGCGGTCGGCATGAAACGCATAGCGCCTACAAGACTGCATGAATACCTCACGCATTGCGTCAACATTGGAAGCTAAAATTTTTAACCACATTTATGTTTGTTCTTTCATAAGTTTTTCGTTCTTTTTTATAAATGGAAGGCCTTGTCCAAACAGGGATGAGTTTACGGAAATAAACTTTTGTTAGTGTTGACAGGGCTTTCACAAAAAGTGTGCCCAGCACGAGTAAACGCGTCTTGTACACCCCTCCCCCACTGGCACGTTCACTTGATGTTTTATAGATCGTATTCGATAGATCACACAGATGAGATTATATTGATATCGATTGGTTCAATATGTAACCAAAGCCTCAAAAGTCAATTTAGAAATCTGAGGTAACGGGTCTTATGTGATCGAATTTTTATTCTCTCGAGTACCAAATGGCAATGAAAAGTGAAATTGTTAGGAATGTTCTCATTTTCAGCTTTTCCACATTAAATCCTGAAATTTTTGTTTGAGATTATGTTCTTTTGTTTTGAACCAAACGATAAATCGAACCACTGTCGAATACGATCTATTGATGTTTCAAAACAAATGAGAAGGGGGCGGAAAAATACAGGTGGCCCATGGGCGGCATGTAGGTAAATCCGGCCCTGTGATTGAGGTGAAATTTGCCTATCAAGGTTATGCTGCACTGAAAAAAATGAGTTAGCGTCAGATGACTAAAAATNAATTTTTGTTTGAGATTATGTTCTTTTGTTTTGAACCAAACGATAAATCGAACCACTGTCGAATACGATCTATTGATGTTTCAAAACAAATGAGAAGGGGGCGGAAAAATACAGGTGGCCCATGGGCGGCATGTAGGTAAATCCGGCCCTGTGATTGAGGTGAAATTTGCCTATCAAGGTTATGCTGAAATAGATCCCAGAGGACGTCAAACATGGATATTGAATCTCTGTGTGCTTTGAAGTTTTAGCACTCTTCAATGTGATCAAGTGATACACAATCAGCTTGTAGTTGCTTTATGGAATTCTTGTGGTTTTAAAGCTCTGGGAGTAATTTGGCCAACATGCTAAAATTTGTATCGGAGAACGCAACGAGTTTGAGCTGAACTGGAGACTACATATATTTATGAATTAAATCGCCAAGGATAGGCTTAAGGTCAGAGTGAATACAGATATTTTGCCTAGAATTAAGTTAAATTACGTTAAAATACGTTAATTAAGTCAGGTCAAGTTTTAGAGCGAGACTCAGGGGCCAGAAAATTAAAAGTATGAAAAACTGCATCCCGAGAACAATAATCCTTCTTCTTCAATCGAAAGGAACTTCCATAGAATATTTCTCACAATCTGTCAAACAGTTGTATTTCATGAAGAATTCCAGTCGTTATAAAGAGAAATAAAGAAGTATAGATAAACAGTTGTTTTAAAAACTCATTTTAATCGAATCATAGGATAGGAATACTTTCCCGAGAAACATTGGAGAGAAGTGTCTTTCGGCGCGAATATGAAACATTTTTTCAGTAAAAACGAGCATGCGCGCATATGCATAGTTTATAAAACACCTCACCGCATTTTGAAGGTCGCAGTTAATGCCACAAATTAAAACCATTGGTATCGTGAGGGATAAAATATGTTTAACAGATCGTCTGGACGTCACAATCGCGTTTTAACTCGAACGATGGGATGAATTCAGACAATTGAACGTAATTTCTGAGAAAACAGTAAATACATGAACACCTTTCCTCGAAAACTTTTGCGCCATTACCGGGATAGAGAGTTCCGAAGAATCCAGCAAAAAACATCTACCTAATGGTGGCACTGAGGAAATCCAGGGGTTTCGATAAAAACGATTTGAGTGGTTTGGAATTTTTACAGGCTTGGATTGTAAAAAAAAACTGCGAGTTCAGTTGGAGCATTGGCGAAACCAATGACTCACAGAGACTCTTAACTCTCAGTTGCCACCTAAAAATGAAGAGCAGGGGAAAATGGTTTATCTATATAAGTTCCCCGAAAAGTGTCCCGACGGCAATGACATTCCTGCAATATTACTGAGTAATTGCAGATTGTTTTAATTAACCACGGATTGCCTTTTACAGCCAAGTCATGATGAAATCGGAACTTTTAAGGAGCCCCTAGATAGGTGCTTTTAAATTTGGAAAATTGTTATACGCCGTTTATACGGTCTCTGCTCGATGTAAGCGACTTCCTTGATGTAAGCATTTTTTCTTCTTGGTTCAAGCGAAATTTACTTCTTGCAGGATTATTTGGACAGAGTTCATCAGAAAGGAACCAACCCACATCAAGATGAAACTGAGAAAAATAAGTTTGAAGTTTTATTCTTCCTCAAGACTCAGTGTAGAAAGTAAACTTTAACGCCTCATTTCACAAACTAATATTTTTTTTTCGACATTGAGTTTTTGGCAGAAGAAAATATAAAACTAGAGGAACTCAAAAACATCCTCAACTCGATATTTTCAAAAATGTGGGTTGGTTCCTCCCTGATGAACTGGGATCATTTCTGCTTACACTGAGTTACTTTTGCAATGCCGTCTGTGGCTATTTACGGGTGGATAAATATTGTATACCCAAAGCAACAATTTTTGAAACAACCCGAACAGGGTTCCAAAAATAGTTAATCTTAAATTGTCTGTGTGCCGTTGGATCATGCATAGTTACATTAACGATTACTGGGGGAGAAACTGTGACATAATTATCAGATTTAAAAACACGCATTACTCGTATTCCGAACAATCAGCTTTTAGACCAGTGCGATTTTGTGTACGTTGAGAGGAAGTTTATCTCAGTCCTGCTCCGTGCAGTCAAACTCATATTTCGATTCTTCATTTCATAACTTTTGATGTGCTACTTATCAAAATTTAATTAGAAAAGTATCTATTTTCCCTTATTGGTAACCCCTACCTACTCAGGCTTACTGGTTCCAGCTATTTCCAGGGTGGATTTTATTGGAACTTTAATCCGTGCTGTCTCCAATTTCCAGGTACTGTGCCCGCTTAATTCGATGTTAATTCGACTAATTGTCAACTTATTCCTTCAGAGGGATTGCCACCATCTATTCTGTTTATACACACCCTGAGACGTTGACAGTTCATTTTTCTTATTTTTTGTTATTTATCATAGTAGTATACAGAGAAAATTTGCCGTAATAATGTTGAAATTTTAAAACAATTAGCCCAAGAGTTTTGAATTAACTATAATAAAGTGTTTGAAAAATAACAAACGTTGTTTGTCTCCATGAAGGATGTGAGTGCAATTCAGTAAATAGGTAGCTCTTGAAAGGTCTCATGAAATCGAGGCCAATTATGGGGAGGGAGGGGGAGCAAAGGGATTTAATTACATTTTTGGAGTGAACAAACTTAAATATACATTTTTGAACGGTCGAAAGGGCGGTCTCTTGATGTAAAGATCGATTTTGCGTGAAACTGCATGGACGTCGCAAAATTCAACGTATCATAATTGCATAAAACAAGGACAGGGGTCTCCTTTTAAGAATAGTGGCGGCACAAGTACAAAAGCGTTGTTAACCATGCGGTTAGCGCCTCCCATTGCTGGCTATGTATCAGCAGCAGATCAAGACATAAAATGTATGAATCATTCATCCCTGACACTGGGTATGCAACCTGTATTCAAAAAATACAGAAAGCGGTTTTTTTGCAATTAATATCAGTTCCTTCCTTTAGATGAGACATAAAAAATACGCATGATCAAATTATGTACCTCCAAACTAAATGATACCAGCGAACTGTGAATCAATCTATAGGTATTTACTGTCACGTTGTGAAACTGCAATCGGAAACATATAACTTATCATACTTCATGAAGTTTGGAAACTTCCATAAATATTTCACGTGAAACATTAATTTTAGAATTCATGACATTTTTCACCGTACAAAGACGGCGGGGTCATTCTTTAAAAAAAAAAAAACAAAAAAAAACCCAAGAGGGCCAAAGAATAACACTATAATATCCAGTATTGGCAGTAAGGGTGAAGTATCTCAGGAGGGACGGGGCTCTTCAATGAAGGGAATGTCTAGGAATTATAAATATTGTTTCAAATTTTATAGGGCGAGGTAATGTATAGTTATAATATAGCCTATACTGAATAGCTAAATTGCTGCGACTGACGAATTGGCCCTTTTGTTTTGAAGGCTATGTGGCGTAATTATGACCAGAGGTCAAACCAGGTTAAATGACTCTTGTTCAATTATAAACATTGAGAATAAGTCAACTAAAGTTTCCGACAGTCGTATCTGCTTCAAAAAAAGTCTACAGAATATTTAAATGTTAATTATAGGCTCCTTGATTTTCACCCTAGTTATTCCGGATTCGCTGAAGCTACGATTTAGTCCCTATGAATCTCATCCCTTCAACCACACCGAAAAAAAGTAAAAATGATTTAACATTCTGGATGCGTGAAAACGGTGTGCAAGAACTTTATAAAATGCTGAGTTACCCGCCACGGCAGCCAGGTCAGTCTTACATATTGGCATTGCTAATGCAATTGCTGTAGCGGGTAAGTAATTCAGCATTTCATAAGTTCTCGCAGCCTTTTTTACGCACAGATTGGTAGATCAACTTCACTTTTTTTTCGGTGCAGATTTTCTGTAACTTTTGCTTTGGGTTTTAGAAAATCAAAGATAAATTCAACCTAATCAGCGATCACGAAAAGTTATCCTGCAAATTACAAGGTGTCCTGGACGAAAGAAGGACGCCAAATGTAACCACGAAAAAGGTGATCGTTTTAGTATTTATTGAAGATTTAAGTCAATTGCACATTTTGATCGTTTTTCCTAGATTTCCTTTTTTTTTAAATATTTTCTTATTTTTTTTTTTTTATAATTTCGCACTTCTATTCTCGAATATCCGTATAAACAATTAGTTCCCTGAAAAAGCGATATGAATTGCAATGGTCCTTCCGTGCTATCAGACAATGCTCTAATGCTGTAAGACTGAAATTTTCTACTCATTTATAATTCATACATCCAAGAAAATAACATGTATTTAAAAAGTATTGAAATTACAAATCATATGGGTTTTTTTTCTTCCTTCAAACTAGGCGGTACCGAAAAAAAGAATATCTCATCATTTCTCATCAACCTCACCATTGTAAAGTCTTGTTAGAACGATGAGGCCTCCAGTAAGATTCTAAACAATAAGAGCGAAGCTACTCTAAACATTAAAAAGCTTTGTAAACAAGTATTAATCTATAAAAAACAACTTTAGGTCTTAGACTTTTACTTTAAGCTTTTTATGATTTGAAAAAAATTATCGTGATTTCGAGGTTATCCAGTGTAATAGCTAAATTTATTTTTGAACTGAAATTTTCTTTTGTATGATGAGTATCTTCAATTCAAACATTTGACGCGAAACAGAATGAGAATTTTTGAATGAAATGAGAAAAATAATAATTTTTGAATTGATGTATTTGTCATTTTAACTCGTCTGATAACAAATGACACTTTGATTTTTTCTCAAAAGTTTAACAAGTTTTATTTGATTTTTTCATCGAATTCTGATTGTCATCATATTTTGATTATTCAGGAAAGTCAAGCATTCTTGCGGACATGGCAGGAAAAGAAGAGAATCAAGAGCCAGAGAAGAAAGATAAAAGTGTGCAAACGACTAAAAATTGGGAAACTCCTCGTAGAAATTATGAGCCCGGCAGTAAAAGTACGTATCAATTTTGAAATAAACACATTTTTGAACTTGAAAATGATATTTAAACGAAAAACACACAAAAATAAGATTTTATAAGGGTAATCAAAATGTTGAAAGAATGGACGATAGCAGACTGCCAAAAGAAATTACAACATCGTGGAGTGTCAGTACCAAGAAGGAGAAAAAATTTACGATTAATATTTGCAAAAACAGTTTAGGGAAAGGCTATAGAAAAAGGATTATCGATGGGATGGAGTTGCGAGAAGACGATTTGAGTACTAAAGCTCACGAGGGATTGTAGTGTCATTTAGGAAGAAGAGGGAGCTTAGGCTAATAAAAAATCTAGGGTCCATGAGTTTCATGTGCTCGCAATATTTACAGTAATTAAACTAATCGGCTGGAATCTTTAGAATTCCTGCACCAAATCTTGCACCAAAACCCATAAAAATGTATAAAAATTGATGAAAAAAAAGAAAGGAGGAAAGGTATTGGGATTGGTAGAATATATTTGTGCACAACGTCCTTTATTGCAAGATGAACTTTTAAACTTATTCACTATATCAAGTTTCAGAATTTCCGGTTCAAACTAGCTTCTTGCCATGTTTTATTAATCTGGTATTGAAATAGATAAAATCGCACGGCCAATCAAATGTTAGAATGAGCTCTCTGACGCAAGCTGGTTTTAAGTAAATACAGATACAAAAAAAGGCGGGCAACCCTCTACCAATCCCTTAGGGCCGGCGCGCGGCGCAGCAGTCGAACTTTGTCGAACTTATGGAGGAAGTAGTTCGACGAACCAGTTTCAACCCGGTTAAAACTAGTTAGATGCAATTGCGCAGTTTGACGAACCACAAGGAAAAGTTCTTCTGTCTGGGCCAGGCATGGAACGTACTCATGGTGGTCATTGAGCAACTTGAACATTCTACTTGATAAAAGAGCCGTTTTTGGGTAAAAGACACTGACTGAATGCTCAACACGGTATTCAGCGTCGAGAAAGTGATGAGGTGATTGTTGCAAACAAAACATGTGAAATAATCTGAACTAGTATGGAACACCGAATGGACCGAAGGATGCTTTGAAAAAAGTTTTTGAAGAGTGCTAGGTGAACCATGTTAGAGAGATATTCTGATCCGGTAATATTTTATTCTAATTCAGATTTTGAATCGAATGAAAGCGAGGAACTGCACTACAAAAGTATTGGAAACAAGTCTACAGTTAATAGTGTTTCAAAGTAAAAACTGTAAATAATCTTGTTGGCTCCAATCATTAAAGCGAAAGAGATTAAGGCAATTGACTGATGGAACTTTTTGAATGAGAGCGCACATTCTTTGTCTTAAACTCAATTAATAGAACATGTAACTTCAAATTTTACAATTTTTGCCAACCCTTAGTAAAACCGGGAGTAATGAGGAAATTCGGAGTAATTCAAATCAAACAGAGCTATTCTCGTAGTGACCAGGGCCATAAGACCCACAAGAATACATGCACGGCTGATCCATGTGATGGTGAATATAGTTCCTTTTCATTTCATTACGTAACTTGGACGTACGTAAAAAAAATTTCACATCAAAATTTTGGAGATCATATTAGCAAGAACTATGTTACCTTCAGTTGAATAAGTTCTTGAAATCTGAAGGATAGTTCACCTTCAGTCACCGATGTAGGCTAGAGAGCATCCTTCGTGTAGCAATAATTATCTTTCCGAGAATCTCTGAATTGTGTTGTTTAATAAGCTCGTCACGTAGTAACATTTTCAAATTCACCAAAAGATTTTGTCGTCGTTTTTCCATTCACGGTTCTATGCCTGTTCATAATAAATATGTAAAAATTCACCTTCAGATTTTTTTAAGAGATTGGAGCATATACGCAGGGTGAACCAGGGTTGAGCAGCCAGACTGCATGAGCGTGTTCTGTGGGTCAAAATGAGACTTTTTTGTTGTATAAAGTTTTCTCAAAAGTGCTCCCAGCCGAAACTACGGCCTTGAAAATTTAGTTGAAGTAAATTGGAAAGTAAATCGTTTTTCCTTAATTTTGGCAACGGTTGAGAACCAAATCTCATGAAAAGTTGTACTTTCCTGTACTTTTATGTCCTGAATTCATGAGTGATCTGAAAAAAATCGAAATGTCAATTTGAACAGGGGGTTTGGGGGTGTTTCGGCTCCTGCAGTCTGGCCGTTTAACCCCGGATCACCCTGTATACAGAAAATTTAACTGCGCACATTCTACAGCTTTGCCGTCTTCCAGCTGTTTCAAAAATAGTTTAGAAAAACAAACTTTTGTCAATTTTCACTTCTTGCCTGTCTTTAATCAAATCTGTTTCGGGATTCTGTCACTCCATTGCATCTTGACCAACTAGGCAACGGCAAAGTCACCTAGTTGCATTCCAAGCGATTTCTCTCATACAACCATGCGTGTGACCGAGATTAATTGCGTCACACTATCATTCACATTTTGCCCGTCAATTTTATTACAATTATCTCTTTTCGCCTGTCAAATTTGTCACATTTATCAAACGTCTAATAGCAGATCTTTGGGAGCCGGTCGTATTTGAGCGCCCTGACATGTCATGATAAAGATGACATGTGGTAAATAATGAGCGGTCTCATGGACCGACGAAAGACGGTTTCAAACCGACGGTTCAAAGGCCGTTCGAAGAAAATAGACACAAAAATACGCAGTTCTTGTCGCACGACACCTCTCTAATTAGAAATTGGCAAGCGAAATAGCAGAATTTATCAAATATTACATATAAACAAACTTTCCCTGCCATGCTGCCGAACTTCATAAATTCCCTTTAATAACTCAATGGTCGTAGGGTCGCATCAAAGTGTTGCTAAATTTTCCTTGATCCCAAAGATGTATCGAGATATAGATTTAAGTGGAGTTTGGTGGTCTGGTGGATACGTTAGATAAGCCGCTTTAAGCTCTTGTTTACGTAAGATTTCCATAACCGTAAGACCGAATGGAAAACGGATAATCTAGTTAAGTGACATCATTTCTTGTTGTTGACTTCCGCAACTCGTCTTTTATAATCTTCATAAGTAAGTTGATTGATATCCTTCCACAAATCGTTATTTAGCTTCTCAAACTTAAATATATTGAGGCGGGTAATGTTTCGTTTTTATTTGTTGTCCCTGTCACAGCTCAAGAGTTGAAATGAAGGTACAAGGGGCTCCTCTTGGCCACTAAACGTGCCAATCTTTTACTGGCGTTTCGCATTTTTAGGGACTGCTCCTTGATAATAAATGAATGAATAAATATTAGGTAAAATATTAGGTAATGAATAAAATTTAGTAACAGGCAACGGGAAATGAACAACATTTGGGTAACATTTTGGGAATTATTGGGAGTGGAAGATATGTGAAAAAGAAAGAAAGAAATAAAATCCGGGTCATGAGAGTAAATTTTCAAGAAAGCAGGAAAAATTTGCGGATTTTAGTAAAGGCAAATAGGTAATTTTTGTGACCTAGGTTTCTACCATAACCCCAGTATCAGAAAGTGCTAGATGGTATCCTTTAAATACTTCTCTCCCGTCTATGGCTTTAGAAGTTTATTTCAATAATTTTTCCCCTTGTTGCTCTGCGTGTATTACCAGGGTGGTGACGGGGGGGGGGGGGGGGGGGGTTAAAAGATTTTATTTTGAGCTTTACATATTTTTTAAGCAGCTCCTGATGTCATTCTCTCTATGGACAATCACAAATATATTATCAAGGGGCCATTCACATACATGACGTATTACGTCTAAGTAATTTTGACCAACTTCTTCACCGACTTTTCCCCCTTTTAAGTGAGACGGTCTCTCGCCCTCCCCCACTCTTTTGAATTACGTAAGACTGACCTTACCCTTTTCCCCTCTCAGAGAATGACGGAATAAGTCTAAAAATTAGTTTTATTTGTTGAAAAGTATTATTTCTTTCAAAATTGGGAGGCTTACATAGGACTGAGCTTACGACTCCAATATGTAGCGAACCCAACAAACCATGTAGGGCAGGTTGCAATGCGATTTAATTGCATTTTAAAAGTATTTTTAGTGAATTGGCTTGTCGTGTATGTTGCCTACCTACCAATGGGAGTTGCTCTAAATATTGAAATTCATCGCGATCGAATTGAAATTAGTTGCCATTTTTTCTCTGCATTGCAAAAGACCAATCTTATTCCTAATCCATGGGACTCACTATACTTATTGTTTCAAATCGGCCATTAAATAATGTAAAGATATCGTTATTTCACGATACAAAATTGAAATTTTATTATATTGAAGTGCAAAGGAACAGACAAAATAAAATGGGAAACCAACGCTAGAAAACAAACAGAACTCTTAGGACAATTTAGAGTGCTTTCAACTCCCTTTTTCGACCAGAGAACAAAAATACAATACATTAATAAAAATGATTTAAAAAAACCTCATGGTTTTTTTTTTTTTTTTTTTTTTTTTTTTTTNTATTATCATTTTTGCCAATGGAGGTCCATTCTCCATTGGCAAGGAAGGTTGAAGCCACCTCGAAACGTCCCAATTATTTTGTTTGTTTTCTAGCCTTTGTTTCTCATTTTATTTTCCTCGTTTAGTTAGATTGTTCGGGCTAGTTTTGTCTATTTTTTCCTAAATGGGTCCCTAAACAAGATCTAGACTAAAGCACCAGGTATGCCCAACATGATTCCTCTTCAAAATTTCACGAAGAAAACAAATCAAACAACGGGAAGTCTGGAAACCCTGGTAAAAATTGGCAGCAGAATCTGTGTTCCAAAATACCATAGACCTACAGCCGGCTGTAAAATTTCCAATAGCTTCTATAGCCGGCAACACAATTTCTTATAGACTTTTTTAGCCGATGGTGACTAAGCAACAGCCTGGCGATAAAGTGTATGCTAAACGTCACTAATTACAGATGCTAGGACTTAGTGAGTTTTTGGACTACCGTTCTCTTTTTGGGCCGTAGTATCTTGATTTATTTTGCGAGGAAAGCTCCGTACTTTTGAAGGATGCCTGCCATTCCTAACATGTTGGAGCGCCTGCAATTTTGTATGATACTGTGCAATACCTCTGGTGTGAAATAGTTGCTTCAAGAGCCGTGGTACGCTGGGGCGTGGAGCCGCGCGGCGGGCGGGCAGCCAGCGCGAAACGCGCATTGGCGCCTTCAAACCTAACAGGGATACTTCACGCATTGCGCAATGCGTGAAGTATCCCTGTTAGGTTTGAAGGTGCCAGTGCGCCGCCGCTCCGCTTTGTGTTAGGCTCTAATATTTAATCTCGTGGAGTCAGCGTTTTTCAACTCATGACTTTGAAATGTTTGCGCACTCTGTATGGATTATTCTCATTTTAATTGATGAAAAAAAATATGTAGTAAAAGAAAATATAATGTGCGTTTTGTAAATATTACAAAATTTTCTACACAATTTCTTATAGCCTTTTATAGCCGATGGCGAAAAATCAGCAGCCAGGCGATAAAGTGTAAAGCCCGGCGATAGGAACTATAGCCCGGCTGTATAATTTTTTATCGCTTCGTGTAGCCCGGCCGCATGATTTTTTCCGCACTTTCTACAGCCAGCTACATGATTTTCTATCGCCTTCTTCAGTCGGCTATAAGAACTCCTATGGTATTCTGAAACGCAGCTCCTATCGCCAATTTTTACCAGGGAATCAACTTCTAAACGAGGTATGAGTGTTAGTAATTGATACAAGTGAAATTGCAGAAATACAAATGACATCATTTGTATGATCCAACTTCCATTTACTCTCTTGAAAGAAACACCTGTTAATATCTCGTTCAGGAGTTGATTTCCATAGTTCTCGTCGTTTGAGAAGTTTTCAACGCGAACTTTTGAAGAGTAAACCCACGGAAAAAAATGGATTGCTGATTTAACAATTAAATTGTCAAAATATATATTTACTATGTTTCAAATGCATATTTTACAATAATTTATACAACCATAGAGGTGGTTAAAGTAGCACATTTTATTGTACAATCTACATTGAAAAGTGTCGGACACTATTTTAAACTAAAAAATTGTTAAAAAAATCAGCAATTTAATTTTTCCGTGTAAGTGATGTTTCCTTCCAGTTCAGACCTTATCTAGTCGCCTATTGCAACTTAATTTTAATTTTTTAATTCACTGGGAAAAACCGCTTGTACCTAGAGTCCAGACTCTTTAAAACAATGACAAGAAAACATACTCTTGATTCAATCGGATCTCTCCGGATTTGAAAAAACCGCTTGGATCCAGAGTTCAGACTCTTGAAAACAATGACAAGAAAAAATACTCTTGATTCAATCGGATTTTTACTCGAATCAAAAGGAAATCCGCTTAATTTAAGAGGCTGGGTTCTTGATTTAAGCAAAAATTCGATTGAAACAAGAGTATTTTTTCTCGTCATTGTTTTCAAGAGTCTGGACTCTAGATCCAAGCGGTTTTTTTCCAGTGTTGCATTGTGCTACTCGGGTACTTTTTTGCGTGACACAGTTCAAATTTGATGTTCCAGGGAGGAGACTCAGCTCAGACAAGACCGAAAGTATTGAACCGGAAGCGACGACGACGACTTCGATGAAGCACGACGACATCTTCAACGAGTTCATGACGGTGATGAACGACCCACTCCTGGACCTGAACGACTCCTGCTCGGCGCACAAGGAGCTCAAGCTGGACTTCCACAACTTCCGGCCGCGGCGGGTCATGGAGCTCCTGGTGGACCGGGCGTCGTCGACCAACACCTCGCCCAAGGAGTTCTTCGAGGAGATGCGGCGCATCATCCACTCCCGCTTCGGCGAGGGCGAGGGCGAGAGTGACGAGTTGGACGACACCTCAGTCGACCGGTTAGAGGGCAAGTACAGCATCACCGAGACGGGAAACGCCCCTGACGTCATCACCCCGTCCAGGCTCTGCTTCACGTTCCCGCAGTTCGCGGTGGCTGTCAAACGCAACTCCATCGTCCACAAGATCAGGTGGGTGCGATCGAATTATAAAGTACAATAAAGTCATAATGTATTGGAACGCCGATGAAGAGAACCCATGAACGGGCCATGCCAAGCCCCTTGTTCGCCGGAAAGTGAGAACCGAGTAGATGTATTTCTACCAAACAGAACTATGTGCGGGTGGGAAAGATGGGGTGTGCTCGTTAGTCGAGGGCCGTAAGAATGAATGGGAATTATAAAGCAGCAGTGACGTCAGCGGTGACAATCCGAGGCTTCAACTCATGAGCCCTGTCCACAACGCTCTAAACACATGCCTTCGGCTCATGAGTCCCGTATGGACAGTTGGCACATAGTTCCGTTTAGCAGAATGTAAAACCCTCTTTAATCATATTGTTAACCATATGTAGGAAACAACTTAAAGGAAGCTGTTTAGGAAACGACTATGACTACGAAATAAGGGCTCATTACCTGAGTTTTACCACTGAATTTTATTCCAGTTTTTCAAAAATTGTCCTTTTTATGATGCTATGTTAAGGATCTTATTACCACTTTAATCATAATGTCAACCATTTGGAGGAAACCACCTAAGGGAAGGAAATGTTTAGAGAACTACAGTAACTATGGCTCTCAATAATTTTGGAACTCTAACATTCAACTGTAAATTGATCTATCCACAAGTTGGCTCTTGAGCGAAGTTCCGAGCAACTCGTTCCGTAACAAGCTGAAGTTTGATGAACTTGTTTGGCATATTGAGTTGAGTCACTCGAGTCACCAAGTGGGTAGGTCAGAGCTGTTTAATAAACGACCCTAAATCGTGGCTCTTCTGGTGTAAGGGCGTATCTCAATTTTCACGTGAGCCCTCCTCTCTGTATAACTCTAAGCTCCCCGGGGCTCATGCGGAAATAGAGATACGCCTTTACGTCAGAGGGGCAACGAAGTGCACACTCTTTAAAAAAAAACTCCGGCCGTGGAAGCCGTGCGTACGGCCGTACGGGCTATAAGTCATACCATTCGCGTTCCGGGCTCAGAGGCGGAAAGCTCCGGGCGTAGCACCCGGAGCAGTCGAAGCTACAGCTCCAGCACCTGGAACTTCGGCCTCTAAACCCGGAACGGAGGGTATAACTATATAGCCCGTAACTTTTTTTTAGTGTAGGTATGACTGGTTTGCATTATCGCTTATTTAGAAAAAAATAATAAAAGAATATCGACGGTGTGAATCGGCAATCACATAACTCGGTTTATGACGTCGTAGACTTCCTGTCATACTTGGTTTTAAAACGGAAATCTACTCAACGGCAATCCTTTAAAACTGCCGTGATTTTTCTTCTGTGTGCGGAGAAAATTCTGCATAAACTTTAAGGAATAATGTCAATTTGATCTCCTTTAAAAAAATACCATAGAGGCGGAGATTTCCAGACACCGCAAACGAGATACCTATGTGATTGCAGACTCACGCCGTCGATATGCATCTTTGGCTTACCATTTTGTTTGAGTCCTTTATACTGAGAGTTAAGACAATGTGAATCCATTTATAATTGGTTATACCGTATTTTCGGCCTCAACAGTGTCACAAACGGGAATAAAAATTACATCGTCACTAATTGCAAAGATTTAATCTGGAATGGACCGAGGAATTACGGGTTCGACAAGGAACAAACGGAATGAGGAGAGGAACGGAGAAAGGAATTTGAAAATGAGCCGATCAAAGATTACGAAAAACGTTCAATTTGTGTAATCTTTATTCCCGTTTGTGACTTCATAAGACGGTGTTTTCTTAACTCTCAGTATAAAGGGACTCTGATTTTGTTAATAATTACGACGGGTTTGCATAACGCTAACGCTTTGATTTTCCCCAGGTCCCTGCAGATGGAGTACTCCCCCAGGTTCATCGACATCCTGCCTCTGTTCTACCTCCCCGAGTTCGGCGGCCTCATCCCGAGTAGGAACACCCTCGAGAAGGAGGTTTGGGAGGCCCTGATCACGCTCCACGTCTACGCCATGTACAAGCTCAACCAGCCGGAGCCGTTCCAGAACCCGGTCTCCGTCTACGCCCGGCAGATGCTCCTCAAACGCGGGATCGCCACGGGTCTCCTCTCGAACGAGCAAAGGCTCTACTACCTCCTCCACAACAAGGTCATCGTCTCCGACCGGGAACTCTCTTACAGCGCCGAGAAAGCATACCGTGAGCTTCTCCAGTCGAAATCCTCATTCACCAGGCAAATCAATTTTAACCTTATTGATTATTAGTTAAATGTGAGAAAGCACTCACTGGAAAAAAAACACATTGGATCTAGAGTCCAGACTCTTAAAAACATCGACACGAAAAAATACTCTTGATTCAATCAGATTTAAGCTTAAATCAAGAACCAAGCCTCTTAATTTGAGCGGATTTCCTTTTGATTTAAGCTTAAATCTGATTGAATCAAGAGTATTTTTTCTTGTCAATGTATTCAAGAGTCTGGACCCTAGATCCAATGTGTTTTTTTTTCCAGTGCTCGGCAAAAGACATTAGCAGGTCACACTATCAAAATACTCCATCAAAATGACAAGGTCAAGCGCTGTGATTGGTCCAAGTCATCGAATAAGCCAATCACAACTCCTGACCTTGATATTTTGATGGTTAGCTTTGATAGTGTGACACAGGCTTATGGAGTACCTACATAGGAAGAGCACGGACACGTCGAAATATTGAGCTGTTGGGGCCCAGAAGGGGTGAGCTTGGGTGGGTTTGGAGTGGATTCCAATATCAAACCGGGATGGCCAGTTTTGCTCATAAATGAGCGGTTTTCCGCAAAAATGAGTACATGCGTAAAAATCAAGTCAAATGCGTGATTGAAAAACGACGGGTCATAACAATTGTAATCATAAATTACCTACTCTGGATAATTTGAATTCATAGGTTCGCTGCTCTTTTGGGCCCTGTGAGTTCCAAGACCTAGCCTCAAAATTACCGACTTGTCCGTCCTCCTTCTGTATGGGTCTTCTAGACTAAAGACTGTATTTGTAGTCATTCTTAACAGCTCTCTTCCATGAGAGAACCCATAAGGCTTACATAGTGAGTGCTAATATCTATCGGTATCCAAGGGACAGCAAACACGAAGGTTTTTTGATGTTGCCTCAGAATATGATCGATCCTGTTCGAATCATTAGTAGTTTCCTGTCATTTACATGCACATGAAAATCGTTAAAATATGTTCATTGAAGCGTTTTGTTATTTTCTTCTCCTACAAGAATACAATCACATTTGACAAACTGATCCTTGTGTTAAAAAGATGGAAGAAAAATAATCTATTTTTTCATTGAACGGAAACGAGGCCTCTGGGCTCTAATCTCTTGTTGCTGTTTTATGCATTCAAGAACGCCCATAGCGCCTTACGTTTGGATGCAACTATTCGTACTTGATGAATGTGTTTGTTGCACGATCGAAAAATTGAAGGAGCACCGATTTTTCTTGCGCTATTAGAGGAACTATTCCGCAAGTCGCGAACGAAGATCGTATACGCAGAAAGATTAGTTTTACAAAATGAAAAATGAAGAGGGAAGAAAAGATAACGGATAACGGATATCCGATAACGGATATATTTATGGTGCAAATCAGTCAAAACTAACTTTTGAAAATCACACACAAGACGCTCTCATTAACCCTGAAAATAGGTAGTTGCGTCGCAGCACGAATTTCTAGATTATAATTTCTTTGGTGCATTTATATTTAGTCAGTTAGTTAGTTAGCTAGTTAATTCATTACGAGGATTAGCAACTAGGGTATTTACGTCGGAGACATGGAATTTAGCTTACATTTTTAAATTCACCTCCTTAAAGAGCTTTAAAATTTTTGTAGTTACTTTTGGACCATCGTAGCTTAAAGGCTAGATGTTTGAAGGTCCACAACTACTCATGAATACATTTATAGTTACACGTTATACACTTTACATAATACACACATTATACGTACATTTAAATACATTAATTAATATATAACACCTCATTTGTTTGTAATTACGTAGAGCGGCCTTGATTAAAATTAATTTTACTGTCATTTCTGTTTAATTTATACAATTATTATAGACCACAAGAAATTTATAATCTAATGTACATTTTTGTCATCGATTATACATAGATTATTGTGAGATTCCTAGTGTAAATACACATATATCGACGGTGTAAGACGGCAATCACATAACTCGTTTCCGGTGTCTGAAAATCTCCGCCTCCATGTTATTTTTTTTAAAGGAGAACAAATTGACGTCACTTCTTGAAGTTTTTGCAGAATTTTCTTCGCACAGAGAAGAAAAATCACGGCAGTTTTAAAAAATTTCCGCTAAGCAGTTTTCCGTTTAAAAAATGAAGTATGACAGGAAGTCTTTGACGTCGCAAACCGAGTTATGTGATTGCCGACCTACACCGTCGATATGCATTAAAGTATCAACTCTCGTTTGTGATCAAAGAGGAACAATATATACTATTGCCACTTCCTGTTGCAATCACCAGTATTACCGACTACAAAAAAGTCATAAACTGTTGCACATTTCTGTCATCATAGTCACGTTAATTTTCATGTAATTCAAATAACTTGATACCATTCTTAGTGAATCGACAACCTCATCTTAATATAAGACACATTAAAGATGTCCTTAAATCATTAAATGAATATAAAATTCCTCAATTCCAAAAAAATATTAAGAATTTTTCTAAGAACCAAGGCGTTGTATTAATTACAGATTGCTTCATCAGTACTTGCCAGTAATCAGTAATTAATAAAACGCCTTGGTCCTTTAAATAATTAATATTAAATGGATTGCGTTTTGCAAAAAGGAACCAAGAGCATTCCAATGTCGCTAAGATTGTGCAACTTTGTTTACCTTGCAAATATAAGGGGATCATGCAAACAAGTTTTATCTCTACTCTCAATAAACTATAAATTCATGAAAAAAATTACCTTTGTAAATTTAATTTTTTCCATGATTTCAGTAATAGTGCTGCCTAGAATGTAAGTTGCACAATCCCAGCATCATTGGAATGCTCTTGGTTCCTTTTTGCAAAATGCAATCCAAATAATGATCGTTCGTCTGAAAACAACTCCATAAACTCCAAAAAAGATTCTGAGAGGGCGTGACCATCTTCTCAATTTCCTCGCCATTTACGAGGTAGCTCCGCCCGCTGGCTCCGGCTCCCGGCTGAGCCGTTTATTTTTCGGAAGGAAACCCTGCTCTATCTCGAACAAAGATTTACCCTGCGTCTCGGGCAGGAGGTACACGGCGAACAAAACCATGACAACAGATGCCACCGCGTAGAAGAAGAGCATTCCCCAGATCTGCAACAACTCCATCAACTCCTCGTAGATCTTGATGAAGAAGAACATCATGGCCGAACCTACGACGAACACAGCCCCCGACATGGAACCCCTCACTCGAAGAGGGAAAACCTCACCTCCCATGAGCCACGGCAAAGGCGTCACCGCGATCATACTCGCGGCGATGTTGACGACGACCAGGGCGATCGGGACCCACTCGTAGGGCTTCTGACCGACGGGCACGGAGCGGTACAGGAACTCGTAGGCGCCGGCCAAGGCGAGGACGATCGCGCCGAGCCCGGCAGAGAGCGCTGTCGCCCATTTTCGGCTCACGAACGCGGTCGAGTACCCGCCGAGCGTGAGGTTGGCCAGCATCCTGGCCAAGGCGATGATGATCGAGACTTGGAGGGAGTCGTAGGTCGTTCCTAGCCGCTCGACGAAGTTCAAGGTGTAGTACATGATGTGGTAAACTCCTGTCAAGACCTGGAAAAGTAAATTAACAAGATGTCATGAAGAATTGTTATTAAAAGTTAAAGAGCACTATACAAATACGGAGTTAAGATGAAAAAAAACGAGATATTTACACCAAAGCTTAGAGGAATCAACGGGGCAAATGAATAAATTCACACTTTCCGCTCACGGAAGAAAGAATAATCAACCCGGGTTAAATTGTACGTCAATCGTCACTAAGGCAGTCTCGGCAATATGAAAATATGGCAACCTCAATCTTGACGCTTTGGCTCAGCTGAAGCGAGCTTTATAGACTTTCAACAACCCAGGATGGGAAAGAAACAATGCTTGATTGAGTTGTCTGCTAAAGCCATTGTACTGCGAAATTTGACTCGTGTGAATATGTTTTTTCTTGTGGCCGGACAATCCAAATTCCCCATGACAATGTACAATAAAAATGTTAATATCTTAGCTAGGAGTTGATTTGAGTACTTTTCGTTGTGCGCATTGTATTCTACGTGAAAGTCTGGTGAAGAATCACGTATCAGGGTGCTTAAATTCGTATCTTGTTGAATGGCCCATTCAATCTGAAAAAGCGAACTTATAGAATTTCCCTAGCTTTTCTTGGGAAAGAAATATTTCATCGAGAGAAACGAGGCAACGTTGGAATGCGCATACGGCACACAACATGGGGTTTTTAAGTCCAATCACTCGATGCCGCGAATATTCCAACGCGTTCGCGCCAAACACGTGGTGCGGCCGGCGTGGGGCGGCGTTGAACGCATATAAGCGCCTGCAATACTGTAGGAATACTTCGCGCATTGCGCCAAACGGTGCGGTCGGCATGAACCCACATTAGCGCCTACAAGACTGACTGAATACTTCTCGCATTGCGCACACAGCACGGTCATTATAATTTCTCGGTGTCAGGTCTACCACCAGCGCAGCGGTGCGGTGGACACAATATTCGACCAGTGTATAACGCGAGCCTGCAATCCTCGTAGGATCGGGAGTATACGGTTCTAAAAAATAGCCGCAAGAGTTGCCTGAATTTGTTGTCAAAGCTTACATTGCTGACAAAATCAACACAGAACACAGAGAGTAACACATATCACACCGATAGGGCGATTTTTCACCATCAACGTTTCTGAGCATAATCTAGTGTTATCGTAGCGCTAAAAAGTCTACGTTAATCTTGTAATCCAATGCCTTATTAGTGGGTTGGACATTTATTTGGTGTTGCGTTGCATAGTATATAATGTTTAGTCACCTGAAGGAACATAAACGCGAAGATGATGAGGAACGGTTTATAGATGGTCGGATCCAGGAAGGTACCGATGCTTAGTCTCTCGGTGTGTTCTGGGGCTGAGATTTCGAGAAGTTTAATTTCTCTGAGGATCCCCGAGGGACTTCGCCCTAGCTGCTGAAGACTCCGGGTGGCGTCATCTTTGAAGCCCTGCTTGAAAAGCCACGGTGGGGTTTCCGGAGCGAGGGCTTGGATGATGACATAGACGAAACAGCCGACGGCGAAGATGGCTGAAGCTAGTGCCCAGTGGAGGTAGCCGCCGATGACGTAGGTGATTGAGATCCCGATCGTAAGCGTGGCCGAACTTATTGAGAGGATTATGCTGCGCAGCTCTTTTGGACAGGTCTCACTCATGTACACCACTGCCGCCACTTCCAAACCTGGAATCATACATCCATGATGCGTCTTTAAATTATGTACTGGTAAAAAAGTGCACGACTCTTCACTGTTATCCTGACAATAGATGACAAGAAAGGGTACAAAAATAAGCACTGAAATTTACATATTTTTCCAAATCAAAATTTTACGTAGGATATGGTAAAGTCGTCACCTTCCGGCCAAAGTATCCCAAGCGTCATGTATCGTTTCAAAATTTCCGCCGCCATTTTATTTTTTACGGAGAAATTGTTGGTTGAATCTGTTTGAAAATTTCATTGAATTTTCTTTGCGCTGCCGATAAAATTCAGAGAGACTTTCAAACAAATTTAACCCACAATTTCTCCGTAAAAAAATGGAATGGAGGCGGAAATGTTGAAACGTTACATGGCGCTTGTGCAGATGCCTATTTTAGCCGGAAAGCGATGATTGTGTCACTGAGATATTCGACGTTTTATTTTAGCGGAATCTAATGCATTCATGGAGGATGCGATTATTTTAGGGCTAAAGAGCTGACTTCTCTTGAAACTGAATAAAACGCGTGACTTGAAAAAAGTTTCGAGGAGGGGGGGGAGGCAAAGTGCCTATTTACCGTGCACATTAAGCGATTACGCTTGCCGATTACGCTCTCAACTTTTCTTATGGGGGAGGGGGGGTGGAGGCAATAGTCCTCTTGAGGGCAGGATCTGCACGCCCCCGCTGACCACGCCCATGAACTGAATGAAAAGTGGGTTTAAAAGGCTCTAGAAAGGGCACACTTTAATGTTCTCAATATCAAGAGCTTTCTCTCATTCCTCTGAAAAGCATACATATAACGACAGCAACATCATGTCGGTTTTAATTACTTCATCGATATTTTTCTGCCTCTCTTAATTAAAAATGAGGACCAGTTTTGTTTAAAGATCTTTACTAGGTGGACGAGTAAATATTAGCATTAAAATGCACGTGCCAATAATTCCTAAAGCCCACTCTTCACTCGTGATGCACTCGAAAGTACTACAGCATAATTTCTCTTATCAACGGCAACAAACTCGCCAATTGGATGGCGAGGATTTTCACGCCACGGTATCATGCGGCTCTTTGGAAAAGAACCGTGCTTGGAAAGCAATCCATGCGTGAAAAGTATTTGCGCCCAGCAAAGGTGGCGAGTGTATGGATTAATCTCAATAGTGCGGTCATAGATTGAAGTGCCTTTCTCAATCGATTTGAAATCGAGGCGTAATTTTTAAGTGTTTGCATTTCTTTCTTTATGGTGTTTACACTTCAGGATTGCTATACGCCAACAATCCCCAAATATACCTATACAGAGAGGAAGGAGAGTTGAGTACCCACACACGTTATGTAGCGCTAGTTGAAGAGCTTTTGAATAGAAACATGAATGTGATTCATAATTAATCGACCCTCGAAAACTAATTGGACCATATTTTGCAAAAAGGAGCCACTCTCTCTGGCTCATTTTAGAAACAACATTCATGTCATTGATTTCTCTATGCAGAAAGGTGTTTTTATACAAGAGCCAGAAATAGTGGTTCCTCATTGCAAAATGTAATCCAATTATATATAAATAGAGAAAATTATTAATGGAAAATGGAATGTACACAATGTGTAGCAAGATACGCTAATAGCAACAACTGGAGCAGTCAAAAGATAATCGAACGTGATATCTTCGTACTCTGAGAAATATGCACTTGTGATCCCTGTTATACACTTAATGCAGTCCATAAGTGGTGTCTCGCTGCTCGATGCAGTCAAAATGACCTAATTTAGACTTATTTGCATTAAAAAGGATCCCATTTTTAACTAATTTCAGAGACAAAGTTTCTGCCCTTACATTATCCTAGGGATAATGAATCTTCTATTCAGGATTTTCCAGGGTCATACAGTCAAACTGCAGAAGTGTGACTTAATGAATTTCCAAAAATTATGAAACTTAGCCATTTTGCAAATGTTTCAAATCGTCACTTAAATGAAGAAAAAAGAAGCTCTGCCCAAAAAAAATTTGGGACTGCAACTCCGACTGGGTTCACTCTTGAGGGCAAGTCAATCGAATGAAAGAGCCATCATGACCCATATATAACATTTTCCTGCAGTCAGGTGGTTAAACTCTATGACATCCTGTTGATCAGCTAGAAACATTTATTCCTTCCATACAGTGTCATATCTCTATAGAGACATATCGACGGTGTAAGTCGGCAATCATAACTCGGTTTGCGACGTCGCAGACTTCCTGTCATACTTTATTTTTTGAATGGAAAACTACTCAACGGCAATTTTTTAAAACTGTCATGATTTTTCTTCTCAATTCGAAGAAAATTCTGCAAAAACTTCAAGAAATAATGTCAATTTGTTCTCTTTAAAAAAAAATGACGTATAGGCGGAGATTTTCAGACACCGCAAACGAGTTATGTGATTGCCGACTTACACCGTCGATATATCTGACAGTAATCAGATCATATTCTACAGATGCACATATATGCTGCCGTGCTAAGGAAGAATGCCGTATGAGTCCTCAGACGTTGCCAAATTTCCTTCAATGAAAACTTAATTTACTGGCAAAACTGTGAATATTCTCTTTCAATTGTTTCAGACAATTTTTTTTTGTAATTTTATCTAGGACGTTTGAAAATTTCAAGGGGAAAAACGCATAATTTTCTTTAAAAATACGTGTATTATCCGGGGCACTTTGGTAACTCTCGAATGTTCATACGGCGTTCTTTCTTAGCACGTTAGTGTTGGCGGTATTTTGCACAATTTTAAATTGCGTTCTAAGTTGTTTTTCATCCTCTCTCGATTATGTCTGTAAACTTACCAACAGCGAAGGAACATATGCAGCGACCAAGATAGATGTGCCAAACTTTTGAGGCGCATGCTATTATACTAAAACCAAGTCCCATGTTGATGTAGAAAAAAAGCAACCCTTTTTTCCGCCCCAGCACGTCGATGAACGGTCCGACGAAGAGAGCTGAGACAGGTGACATGAAAATGCCGAGACTGGCTGGAACAGATACATCAATGGGTAAATCGACCGCATTTAGCAGAAAAGAACTAAGCCACATCAGCCATTGCCAAATATATCTGGGCAATTTAATTTTTTACAAGAGAACCTTTATGCGGAATCCTTCGAACATTTTGAGGAATTTGCTTCGTCCTGTGTAAAAAATTTACTGAAATTTGCACAAAAATCCGCACAACCGTTTTTGTGTAAAAAAATAAATTGCCCCATTAAAGCCACTAGCTGATAAGGCTTGGTTCCTCCCTGCTTAACGCGGCCCAAATATTGTGGAGCCTTGGTCTTCATAATCTGCATGTCTCCTGATTCAAGTTTTTATCACCTAATGTAATACTTGCAGTTTTATGGATATTCTTTGAAAGTTCTAAAATCATTTAGGAAGTTACAGAGGGTAGGTTGACAAAAGTGTAAATAAGAGGTGGGTTAAAATTCACAGGAAAATGTATAATTTAGTGTGGGTAGGATACTCTGAAAATTGCGTTCAATGTCCACTCTAAGATGAATAAAGTGCAATGACAAGGGAAACTTGTCGTTGTCGCTTGAGAGTATTGTTTCGTCATCCATCGTCGAAGAGGATGTTGTGAAAACCAAGACGGATCCACACAGATCAGTCATTGCGCATATCTTTTTGGAATGCTCTCCGTCGTCCGGCCTTTACTTGACCGCAGTCATCATGCGTCACCGTGGGACATCACATTTGCTGCTCCCATAAGAAATGCATTGCGTTTGAATTTTCCGCCGGCAGTTGGGTCTCAATACTTGTTCATAGGGATGACTGACCTGTGTGGATTGGCCTTGGTGAAAAATAACGATTTCATCCCGACCAGGCAAAATTTCTCAGGACCGGAAAAATTCTCTCAGAGTCTTCTCAGACTCTGATATTACATTTTAAATTTTATCAAAAGCTCCCAGGAACTCAATAAATGACATTTTTTTGTAGATGTACTTCAGAATGATACCAGTGGCGTGGCGTGGCGTGCTTTGCGATATATCGATTGATTCGCCATTTAAACCTATGGAAAAGTATCGATAAACAGGGTGTTCGCAGCAAACACCTTAATATTCGATTATTTACCGCAACTCCAAATGGGGAAATATCGATAGATCGCAATTCACGCCACGCCACCGATGATTCGTGAGTTTTTAATGAGAAATGCGTGTTTCCTGCTTCAATCCTTGAGCCTACCTATCCAAGTTTCTTCTTCTGGGGTCACGTGAATTATACTGTCATTTCCTTTAAGTTGAGGTAAAAGTACAGCAGACTGAGCTTGAACGACTCCGGTGAAAACAAACAACATCATTGCCCCACTGCAGGCAAACATCTGAAAATAAAGGGAAATAGAGGCCCTCACTGCCACACGCAAACTTGGGAATCGTGCATCTCATTTTGCAATACAATTGTTTATTTTGGAACATGCACACAATCGCAAGAAATTACATTTTGATCATAGAGAGTAATACGGGCAGAGCCGGACTGGCTCACTTTTAAGGGCGAAGATCCCTAGCTGGCTAAGAGTTCTTAATGTGATATTCTGTCTTGGAGGTGGAGGTGTAGGGGTGCACTCCTTGCGTAAGGGGGGGGGAGGTCCGAAAAATTTTGAAAAATCAGACCTGTCTTAGCATAATTTTACGTCATTTTCAGGTCTAAACTCGATAGTTTTTTTCATAACAGAAGAAGGGCGCGCCTTACGTAGGCGCATACTACCGTGGTAAGGAAAAACGCCGTATGAACATTCGAGAGTTACTAAACATCCTCCACTAAAATGTTCATTTTTAAGGAGAGTCATGAATATTTTCTCTTGACATTTTCAGATGATATAGATCTAATTACGGAGAAAATTCTTTGAAAAAATTGAACGGAAATATGCATAAGTTTTCCTGAAAATTTGTAATTGATTAAAGAAAATGTGGCAACTGACGAAGGTTCATAACGCGTTTTTCCTTAGCACGGCAGTATAGATGGAGCATTTTGCCGATGACAGAGTGCTTTTAAGCTCAGCCCGGGCCTGAATAAGGGTTCGAATTTCATTGATAAAAAAAAAAAAAATTAGCATTTTGCATATCCAAAATGTGTCTGAAAAATAAGATGCTGATATATTTACCCCTACAATTAATTTTACATCATCAAAATTAAAAATTGACTGTGAGGGTACTTAAATCAGTATTTCGGTCTCTTTGGACACATTTGATATCTAAAACGCGACATCGTCAGAAATCGAAAAAGATGTCCCGAATAAAGGTCTAAGTGGTATATATATGAAAAGAACTCTCATGCTTGTGGTATATTATCAATAGTGTCCTTACAAGATTTTCTATAAGGTGCTACAAAATCTTAGGGGAGGATTGCAAAGGATTGCTAGGGTGCTGAAGTATCCTAGCACCCCTATAATCAATTATATCGTTTACCATTATATCAATTATATTATTTACCGTTCGCAGCCAGCAACTCCAGCTGAGTTTCTCTTTCGTTTCCTCTTCTGTCATCGCGGGATTTTGGAAAGTACTTTCACAATAAAAACTTTAACTTGGAAGCACAAAAAGCCACGAACGGCACTGGCAATCCCACACACAATGAAACAATAGATCAGTTGAATGATGATTCAACATAATCGTCTCGCAAATCTGACCAGCAAACGCAAAAGTACATTCGCTTAGATACCATCTCGATTGGCTTCGACACTGACATGAACATCAAGTGTTTTCAATGAGAAGGAATCGCACTTTAAGAAGAGAGAGTCTAGGGTTTGCGAATGATTTAATTAGCGTTGTCTCTAAAAAATTTCCATAGTTGATGTCCTGAGTTTACTAGTTCAGTCGTAGATCCACTTGAGTTTCATGAGAGGCATTTAAAATTTTGAAGAGGAAACATGTAATAGAGTGTTTTAGTTTACACCTTGTGTACGGTGCCTTCTTTGTTTAGAAAACAAGCTAATGTTTGGTGGAGTTGTCAGGCAAGCTGCTTGATCTGTAGCTTAACAGCTAACAATAAGGTGCGATGACTGTCGCTACCCATAAGGAAATGCTGAATCTCCGAAAGTGAAAGTTTTCGAATTTGTAAAAACACTGTAAAGAGTCTCTATTTGTCTCTGTTAATTCGTATGAACTTTACATATTCTAATTTTTCAGCGTCATTGAATTCTATGCCAAGAACTTTATGCCTTTGAAATTATGCGTATAATTAAGAGGCTTGGAGGGCAAGGCGCATGAGTGCAGTTTTTGAAAAAATTGAAATATTAATGATTTCAAGTCTAGTCTTTAAGCATATTCTGGGAAAAATCCGCCCCCTAATTCCAATTTTTATGCGTAAAAAAGTCAGTTTGAACTTTTTTCCCGCCACGAGGCTCCATGTAATTCGAAACTTCAAGCACGTATTTCTCGAAATAACTAAAACTGCACTTATGCGCCTTGTCCTCCAAGCCCTCAATTATTTCATATCATCTACAAACTACGATGAGATTCTTGATTTCTCTGTGATGAGGAGTTTGCTGATATTTTTTAATGGAAACATCGTCAACCTGTCCCTGTCATATTTCAATCTATAAACTTATCAAAATCTCAATAAAAAGCAAATTAATTTTTTTTAAAATACCCAATCTCGTGGTATTAATACTGCTCAAAAGTAATGCGCATTCCGTTGGTTCAAAGATTCCATCCTCCTAAAATCCAAGAGCTTCCATCTGAAAATTACGCTCTAGTGAACGTCCAGCTTGATGATCACGGCGAATTATATAAGGGTCATTCCACGTCAACTGTGCCAGGCTCGGAACCCGACCCCCTCCGATTTGGCTGAAAATTGGTATACGGGGTCTTTACATCATTATAAGAAACTAATTTGAAGGGAACACTCTAATCAGAATGACTGCCGAGTTCGGCCTTTGCATGGTCCAAATCAGTACCATTTGGCATGAGATGTTTTTTTCTCCTATTTTTTTTGGAATCGGTGACCTCGAAAACAGATATCTGGAGTGTTTACTCCTCTTTTTCCTCCTCATTTAACGTTTTAGCCACTAAAGAGCCAAAATCGGCCGCCATCTTGGATTTTGGTCATTTCCGTGGGTCGAGGGGTCTGTATGACAATTTTTTTGGAATCTACGATTCAAAAAACATGAGGATCGACACCTCTCTTGACGTTTTGTGCCGTTTCACCAACATTTCAATTTCAGCCTCCATTTTGGCCGCCATCTTGTTTTTGGGGCCTTGGCATCAAAATCGGATAGTCCACCAAAGATTTTCTCATTCTAGGGACCAAAATGAAGGAGTAAACTTGCATCACAAACGTGCAAACGGGACGTAATTTTCGAACACATGCTTCCCTGAAGACTATGCAATAAATCGCCTTTTTCCGTCATTTTTGAGCATTTCCGGCCGGTTTTCATTTCCGTTTAGATCCGTGCCCCATCGATGCACGTTGGTAAGTGTTTATTACTCGAAAGTATATACCTTAAGGTTGAAATAGAGAGAGAAAATTGGAAATTGCAGTTACAATCTATGGAAAGCATCGGTTACGGTGTGAAAAATCGTCTTTTTGCGTCAATTTCGAGGATTTTCGGTCGGTTTCCGGTTTCCATCAGGCCGTTAATCGATCGGTAAATGTATGGAAAGCGTCGATAGTCTGATTTTATACATCTTAGAGGGTAAACTGGGGGAAAACATCGTTAATTGAAGTGTTCAATATCGAAATATTTGGATTAAAATGTAAAAAATCGTCTTTTTTTACCAATTTTTGACCTTTTTTGGCCTATTTTAATTTGTTTAGGCCCTTACCCGTCCGATAACATTTGAAAAAAGTATATTAACCAAAAGTATATATCCTAAGCTTGAAGTATAAAAAAAAATCGAAAATCGGAGTGACTGTTTTTTAGATAATTGAGTTTGAACATTGAATGGCAAAAAAATTGTAAATTTTAAAAAACTCTAAATTACGGCCATTTAAATAATTTTTAGCTTAATTTCGATGGCATATTTAGAATCTACATGAAAAACTGGTCTAGAAATACTCTTTCAAAGTATGATGGATTGATACAGAGTCTCGCTATGGAGAGTCAAAGAGAGGGAAGTCGAGAAAATGAGAATCGCTAAAACGGGCTTTTTTGAATATCGCTTAAATTCACCCCATCTTTGGGGGTCGATATCTCGCGAACGGGGCATCGGATGGGAAAACCCTTAAAATTAGTTTCTTATAATGATGTAAAGACCCCGTATACCAATTTTCCGCCAAATCGGAGGGGGTCGGGTTCCGAGCCTGGCACAGTTGACGTGGAATGACCCATAATGGAGATGTTGCATGTGTGAGGAATTTGTGATCTGACTGTTGATTCCTATGTAAAAGTTTGAGAAAAACACGATGGTGCCACTGGTTTTCTCTGAAATCAACTCCCAAGCTCAAAAAAAGCTCTCAAGTTGAGGCCAAAATGGAGGGGATATCCCACCCTACCCTGAGATTCCACGTCTACATCAAGAAAATCTCTCCATGCAAAGATAGGGAGCAAATACATTGACAGGGCTGCCACTTTATTTGCGGACTCCAAAACTGGAAACACGGCAACCCTACTAATGTATTTGCTACCTATCTTTGCATGGAGAGTTTGTCTTGATGTAGACGTGGACTCTCAGGATAGCGTGGGATATCCCCTCCATTTTGGCCTCGACTTGAGAGCTTTTTTGAGCTTGGGAGTTGATTTCAGAGAAAACCAGTGGCCACATCGTGTTTCTCGCGAACTTTTACATACGAATCAACAATCAAATCGCAAATTTCTCACACATGCAACATCTCCGTTATTCTCACCAAAACTCAATTGTTTCTTGTAGAATGACATTGATCTGTGACTTGCAAAGTTATGAGCTTGTGACAGCTGTTATCAGAGAAGGAAGGCTAAGGATGGTTTTGTAAGACTTGACCCGGGTAGATTTCCGAGCATATTGATGCATGTCATAAATAATCAGTTTGACTGACGTTGATTGATCTAGGTTCTTTCTGCGAGCGGAATATTTGAACCTGTTTTATTTTATTTTTTTTTTAAAGAAAAGAAAATGCTGGATGCTAAATTCTATGCACGAGTATGAGCTGCTTCTGAAAATTTACACAGAATCACAAAATTTCGCTTCAATGTAGGTTGCGGAAACAAACATGTCTACCGATGATTTAATGGATAACAGTGCCAAGAGCGGTGAATTCATGATTTAACGATAGTTTATGCTCATGGATATAAACGTACAGACATAAATAGGGAGTCGGAGGGTGACTTATAGTGGATCGGTGAAAAGGGATTGCTCAAAGTCCTTGAGCAGTAATAAGTTGCTTTATTTTCTTAGTCTTTCTCCTCTCCCCATGTCAACGAATGGACTTGTAATATCCAAAATAATTAGTAATAATGGGTGACCAAAAAGTAATGTATCCGTTGAATGAGGAGGTATAGAAACGGTGTTTCGCTTTTTTTATTTACATTTCTGAAATTTACAGGGACTTATGTAAAAACGTCGGAGTAAAATCACACGAAATTGAATGAAAGTAATTTAATGTTTATCACCCATTCTTCAATTATTACTAAAATTTGGCGCAGGAAATCTGCAACGCCGTGAATAGAGTACGCACTACGCAGTCTCGTAAATTCACTCTAAATAATATGATACTGAGACAAAAAAAAATAGACAAACACTGAAATAGGGTAAAATCTTCACGTTTATCACAGTTTTCTCTGGGATTTGCAATTCTTAATTGGTGTTGAACTAAACTATTAACCGATTGAAAGAACGAATGAGTGTTTCAACCGTTTTGGAACTTTTTTCAGGTAAACATAATTTTGAACCCCCCCCCTCTTTACAATCAAATCCCCATATTTACATATAACATTTTTAGCAGTATTTCTACCCCATGCAGCCCCAGATGAAGGGCTGATGAACTATGCTATGGTTCTTAACGAACTGAAATCAAAACTCTAAAAGGTACAGTTACAAGAACATTTTGTTTTGATTGTAATAACTCCGACCCCTTTTTCTCTCCCTACTATTAAATGATTGCGAGCTTCAATGAATGATTATCTTTTGGTTTACGAAACTCGTTTTTTAATTTTGGCACGATTTGTCGTCAATTTTCTTGACGAACTTCTCAGCCGGGCTTCATTCAGGGAAATGATTGAGCTCCTTTAGCGACTGACATCACATAATCGTGAAACACTTTCTCGTAAAGTACTCCGGTGTGTTCATACCCTTGGAAATTTTGAATAACGACATTTGCACTTTGAAACTTCTCACAATATCGCAAACTGTTCAGCGGCACTGTCCCATCACCGACGATGTTTACGATTTCAACCTCCTCCGTGTCACTTATTTTGGGTGCTGTGACTCGATACCTGGAATATTGAAAATTATTAGTTAAATAAAGACAAAGTTGTTTTTGTCGGTACCGACTCAACAAATAAGAGTTTTGCTATAATCATCCATTATTAACGGCCGTTTTCATTGCTGTTCCTTAGCCCCTTGCGAGGTCCGGATATGGTATGCTTATCGCAAAACGGACGTGGCCACACAGCTGTAAGCAACTATTACTGCTTTCAAGCCACTAACATTGCCTATTTAGGTTATTGAAGGCAAACTGGTATGTATAAACACGAGTCATAGTGGATTAAAGAAAGTAGCCCTCTAAAATTTTGCTTAAAAGGAATAATCGTGGTGATACTGGTATAAGTAACTATTACTACTGTATCATTATTTTTAGAACTGCGCATATTTCCTACTCAGGTTATCGAAGGCAGACTGGTTCAGAAAAATGAGAGATGTTATGAGCAGAATAAACAATAATTGGTCCGCTAACCTTACGAATGAACGTGATCACATTGCTGAAGCAACCACTACTGTTCCCGAGCCGCTCGAATTGCCTACTCAGGTTATTGAAGGAGGATTGGTCAGAGTAAACGTGAGACATTGTGAGTATAGAGGAGGGAATCATATTATGTTGCTCGATTTTATGCTCGAAAGAAATTTAGACACGATCCGCCTGCATTAATTTATATCTCACAGCTCTAAAACAACTCACATTCCTACTTCTGTGCTGAAGTTTTTTTCTCTAAATATCGGCGAATTATTGGAAAAGGTTTATAGCTTCCTAGATTCGTTTGAATTACGAAGTTGTGACTGAAAAATGATGTTAATCATATTCATATATTTTGAAGCCAATTTTTCGACCACGAACCGAGCATGTACGTGTATTTACTATTTAGAATTTGTAGGAATTGTGCAAAACTCATCGCGAGCTTCTACAGGTCTTTGGAAAGACATCCTTTAGGCTCACAAAAGTCCATAGAGTCTGTCCTGAGAAATTTTTGACTGATTATCCTTTGGAATGCTATATATCGAATGGTTCAAATTTAATATTTATGGAAAGGAGGTAAATGAGTGACGGACTGAAATAACTGAAGGAGAGACTTACGTTCCGGGTGTCTGAAGTTCAGTCAGATTCGTCCACACGCAATAAAATTTCACTCCTAATTTATCCAAAGCAACAGGGAAAAATGGTCGGACATCTTCTCTCATTAGATAACCATCCTCGAAGAGAACATCCCTGTAGATGGTAGGTAAAGACACATTAAATATACTTTTAATGAAGCAATGAATTGATAACTGTTAAGACCTGGTGCAATGTGCCAAGAGTTACGAGTGCTCGTAAAAACCCTGGTAAAAATTGGCGATACGAGCTGCGTTTCAAAATACCATAGGAGTTCTTATAGCCGACTAAAGAAGGCTATTGAAAATCATATAGCTGGCTGTAGAAAGCGGAGCAAATCATATAGCCGGGCTATACGAAGCTATAAAAAAGTATACAGTCGGGCTATAGTTCCTATCGCCGGGCTTTACACTTTATCGCCATTGGCTATAAAAGGCTATAAGAAATTGTGTAGAAATTCGTGTGCTTTGGAAATCATTAAGTTTGATACGGAACTACCTTAATATTTACAAAACACACATTATATTTTCCTTTAAAACATATTTTTTTTTCATCAATTAAAATGAGATGGTCCATACAGAGTGTGCAAACATTTCAAAATCATGAGTTGAAAAACGCTGACTCCGCGAGATTAAATATTAGAGCCTAACATTAACAAACTTGTTGGTATTACTTAACTATTTTTATCAAAGTTAATAACTTATTATAGCAATTTTAAATTTTAGTTAGACGCTAGTTCATTTTTATTATTAACAATAATATACCTCTTTTTGGTTTTAACTAATCTGCACGAAGGCACGAAAGCCTTTGTAAGTGGAGCGGCGACGCATTGGCGCCTACAAACCTAACAGGGATACTTCACGCATTGCGCGGCGATGCACTAGCGCCTACAAACCTAACAGAGATACTACACGCATTGCGCGGCGACGCACTAGTGCCTACAAACCTAACAGAGATACTTCACGCATTGCGCAATGCGTGAAGTATCCCTGTTAGGTTTGTAGGCGCCAATGCGCGTTTTGCGTTCTCTGCCCGCCCGCCGGTGGCGGGTGGGCCAGCGCAGCGTGCCGCGGCGTCTGAAGCAACCATTACACACTAGAGGTATTGCACAGTATCATAAGAAATTGAAGGTGCTCCAACATATTAAGAATGACAGGCATCCTTCAAAATTACGGAGCTTTCCTCGCAAAATAAATCAAGATACTACGGCACAAAAAGAGAGCGGTAGTCCATAAACTAACTAAGTCCTAGTATCCGCATTCAGTAAGGTTTAGTATAAACTTTATCGTCTGGCTGTTGCTTAATCGCCGTCGGCTATAAAATGCTATAAGAAATTGTACAGCCGGCTACAGAAGCTATTGGAAATCTTACAGCCGGCTTTAGGTCTATAGTATTTTGGAACACTTTCTTCTGCCAATTTTTACGAGGGTAACCTACGGTGTATTCAGACATTTTTCACAAAAAGAAGAAGACGATACGATACAGTCATAAATGTTTCAAAGAGGGCGGGTGCGGTGAAGATAGGTTTTGGGAAACAGCAGCAAATAACATATTTTAATGGCAAATTCAAGTTATTGGAAGAAAGGAAGCTCTGACCTCTAGAATTGCTCCTCTTTAGTTACGCCGTTGAGTGAAAAATGGAAGAAATAAGTGCCAGTCATAATCTATATTAAATATGGTCTAATCCTCCCTCCCCCATTTTTTAAAGTTTAATATTTCTCTAAATATCTCGAATAAGAGTTTTATTCCTAGAAATAAAAGAGGAAATTTTGAAAAATTCTTTTATTAGTCGACTATGGACTATCAATTAAAAGATTCCATTGAGCAGATTTTAATGATTAATATCCTCAGATGTTAAAGGATCTCGCAAGTTCAGCCTCAGTTCTACCAAGTCAACTTTTTTCTTAGAAAATCTGGAATTTGCCTATTTCGTTACTAATCTACTTAAAATAGTTGACATCACAAAAAGGCAACCTAATTATAATTCCAACCCAGGAATTCTGATTCTTTAATTATAAAATCATATAATTTGAGAGGCGATGCTGATGTAATAACATGCACAATGCCTTAGAGACGCAATAAATGAGTTAATAAGTTAATGCAAAATATTTTTACGCACTTAAAAAACTGTTGGTAATCTTTCGTCGTGTATTTTTTATTCTGAGGAACCCACTCAACTAATGTTAAATCCTCGAATTCTTTTTCTTCAGGTAGTAGAAATGCGATGGATTGGAAAGTTCTCACCATGCCCAACATGATTTTCTTATCCATGGTTGGAATACCGTAAGTATTACCTGATTCAACAAAAATATGGATAAAGTTAAAACACGTCCGAGTACAAAATTGTAAAACTATTGTGAAAGGAAAGAAAAAGACTGATGCGATGTTGGTTCAGTGCAGGTAAATATCTTTCATTCACCTGTTTTTTTGAGAAGGGGACTCCAATGAGCCCCATGGATTTCAGAAAATTGGTACACGGAATTTACCGAGAACTAATATATCTGAACTTGACGTGCGTGAAACAAATTTAGAAGATCTAGCCATTAGAAAAAATTGCAGACTAAGAAACCACAGGAAATCTAAGACTTTGAGAAATTCAGTTTTTCGTAAATTATTTTTTTAAAATTTGGCAACGTGTACATAGAAGCTTTATATTCCGTTGAACATCTATTGAAGTTTCTACATGGAGAAAAGAAGGTAGTACGTCTAAGCACAATTATTGCGGACGGATAACACAGTTTCTTTTAGCTTACGCGTTGGTAATCACTTACCAGGATTGTTTGGAGCGTTACCCTTTTTTTTTGGTGCGATTGGCCAGAAAGCATGTCGTGATTCGACTAATTAAAAGGTTACAAAACAAAATGTCTATTGAGACAAAGTCTCGGTCTGACGGTCCCTTTCCAGTCACCAAAAAGGTGACAAACCAACGTTCCTTAAGGTGTTAAAAAATGGAGCGAACTTAATATATCTTTGCTCATCCATGGTGCACTTTCATTGACAATGGGTCGGTGTCCAATTTTTCTCACGGCGCTTTCACCAATAATGAATATTCACATTTCTGCAATTAAATTCATCTTACCAACAATATAGTTCGAAATAGCCTTGGGGCTCCCCAACCACGGTGTCCCGACCGTAAGGAAGGCGTGGATGTATTTGTCTTTCCATTCTTGGGGTTTGTTCATGAGGAAGTGCGCGGTGACCAGTCCGCCCATGCTGTGAGCCACGAGCAAGACCTTCCGTTTTGTTTGATCTGCCACTATTTCCACCAGCTCTGTGAACCCGTTATAGTAGTTGAAGTCATCTTGCCGGGCTGACGAATAATGAAAAAAATATAATGGAGAAATGTATGACAAATCATAAGGATACTGACAAATACGTAAAATTGACTACTGGACAAGGTACGAATTTAAGCATTATCTGATACACATTTCTTAACCAGAATTTTAGGTAGAGCACAATTCTTGCATTAACAATTGCTAAAATCAACTCCTAGCAAAGATATAAATGTTTTTTGTTTTACATTGGTTTACGGGAAATTTGAATCAATCACGTCCAATCACGTGCTACGACGGTTTCGACAGGCTTTTCAATCGAGCACTTTTCATTTTCCACCTTCTGTTGTTCAAACTATATGCAACTTGGTATATTGCTGAGCCAAGTTGTTAAGATTGAAGCTGCCAGATTTTGATATCGCAAAGACCGTCATGGTAATGTTTAGTGGGCAATTTGACTCACGAAGACCATTGTATTTTCATGAGCGGGAGGTTTGAATTCACGCGTCAAGAAACATGAAATATCTTTGATAAGTGTTACTTTCAGTAATATTTGCTGCGCAAATGTGCTCTACGTGAAATTTTAATTCGGATCCATGTATCAGAATGCTTCGCTTTGCTTCTTGTCCAGTGGTCCACTTTATATCTACGAATACTTTCTACCCTCTTGTTGAAACACTGAATTAACCGCCTCAGCAGTTAGTTTTACATCTTGACATTGCTACATTAACTGCTGTGGCGGTTGCGTAAGCCATGTGTGAGTTCTCGCACTTTTTACATCCAGAATGTAAAATCAGCATCATTTTTTTTCGGTGTAACATAATTCTATGGCAGCCTTTAAGGATTTATTCGCTGGAAAAGAGAATGAAGCATGCTTTTGAAAACCACCTTTTCTTGTAAACTTGCGAGCACTTACGAGGAGCGTAGCGCCAATCATAGCTGTGCGCCTTGAGGCTGCTGTCTGACGAGTAGCCGCTGTTCTCGAGAGCCTCAATCATCTTGTGAAAATATTGGCTCATTGGAAGTTGCTGAGTGATTGGGTCAGCCGTTAGAAATTCGCTCGACGATAGACTTCCGAGTCGCCCTTTCACCCGCGTTTCCACGCCTATCCGATTCATGCATTTGCGAGTTGATCTGTCGTACAGGAGTTGGAACCTGAAAGCCTTTAAGTGTAAAAAGATCATGAGGACTAATTCCAGAAAGTTAACCAGAAAGCTTCACAGAGAAAAAGGAACATGTCTGACAGGGGACCAGACCTCGGTGATGAGTATACACAGAAGAACAACCTCGACTAAAGGAACTGATAATTTAAGTTTTCGGTTTTTGCTTTTTTGTTCCCTAGATCGGAAATCAAAAGTTAAGATTCGATGAAGCAAGAATGCTCTGAACCCCTATGATCCCTATGATGCCCCCTCCCCTTATCCTTGAGACCCCTTGGACAGAGCCTTTACATCATCAAGCATTTTGGTTCTACAACATAAGAGATATGATTGATTGGTGACTGTTTTATTGGTCCTCTTAACCGAAAAGCGCACAAACTTTGAGTTTCAGTCAACCCCCCCCCCTCTCCCCATTTCTCTGAAATATTACCGTGAATCTTACGCAACATTACACTCATGATGTGCATATGACTGATTGGTGACTGTTTGGTTGGTCCTCTTAACCGAAAAGCGCACAAACTTTGAGTTTTAGTCACCTCCCCCCCCCCATCTCTCTATTCCTCTGAAATATTACCGTGAATCTTACGCGAGATTTCTCTCATGATGTGCAAAATAAACTAAATTAATTCAAAAGAAATAAAAAAAATCTTTAAAATAACCAAACTGTCGACTCAACTCGTGAAAAACTTGTTTCTTAAAAAGTATATTCTCCCCTTTTTATTATGTGCCTTTTTCTAAGAATTAAGATTTAACTAAAAGAATTTACCCAGCATCTTTGATGGATAGGCCCCTTGATTGCTATATCAGGGTTCAGCCACAATGATTCCCACTCCGTTTCCCTCCTTTTACAGAGTTTCGGATGGCCTCTCGTGTTCCATTTTCCTTCGATTTGACTATCACTTACGCCGTTCACTAAAATGATAAGGAAGAAATGTACTAAAAAAGGAACGAAGAGGAGAAGAGAAAAAAAGCAAAGAGTAGGCAACGAGAGGACAAGAGGAGAGGGGTACGTTCACGATTGGTCTAAAGATTGGTTAATGACAATTACGTGGCGTATGCTTTGCGATATATCGATTGATCTGCCATTTAAACCTATGGAAAATGATCAGTATACAGGGTGTTCGCAACGGACACCGTAATAATCGATTCTTTGCCATAGCTTTATATGGGAAATATCGACAATCGATCATTCATTTCTCGCCACTGGTTAACGATCTCTGAATCAAAATTCTTGTTGTTACGCTATACTGTTTACGTAACCGGTAGTTTAGTAGCGCCGTTATATTTGACGCAATCGACAAAGAAATTGAGATCTAACTTGAAGTCTTGCTCGTTAATTTTGAACTTAAAAGTGGCACTAACTTGTTTTCAGAGACTTGTCAATTCTCATAAGAAAAATTGTAGTCGCCCTGAGTATAATTCCTCGTAAAACAACTGGAAATATCTTTATTTCTCATTTCAACAGCTGAATTTTTTTGCGGAATTTATTCAACAAAGAATATTTTTTATTGAAAAATTTGTGTTCATCGGTGTGAGGAATTCTTCTCAGAATGAGTGACTATTCAGTGTTCTGCTATTTATTACTGCATCATTCACTGATCTACTACAATAACTTGCGATATCCAATACTTCCATCAATTTCTTTTCGCTACTAGGTTTTTTTCTAACTTTACTCTTACAGAACATCTTAAAATGTTCCTCTTTCTTCCTTCTTCATATAGCACTCTTTAATTTTTCTGAGGTTCAATATGCATAATCCTTGTGTATCCTGTGTATATTCTTTATCCACCATCAAGTTGGTGAATAAAACGCTTCGTAAATCAAAATTATATTAACTTTTTCGAGATAAAAAATGACAAATTTGACACACGAATAATGAATTCATGGTTCAAATTTTAAGGCATTTTACCGAGTATAATAGGTGCCAACTTGTCCGATACGTAGTCATAGTTTTCAACCGTTGGGACAATTGAGCACAAGAAAAGTAAAATGGCTAAGCATTCAAAGACTGAACAGTTTACAAAACACAGCGTCATTTTTCACCTCCACTCATTAAAAAAATTATGGCTTAATCACAAAGAAAAAAAAATGAAAATTGATAAAAATGATAAATCTTTAAAGTTGCGATGAATATCAAAGAACGCACAACTGGGGCAACCTTCCTCCCCAGAAAGAGCGGTAAAATTCTCTTTTGATAAATCAATGAAATATGATGTCAAATTTTTGGTGTATTCATGATTTTTTAACGTATGTAACCTAGTCGAGCTTTTCATAAAATTACAAGGAATCGAATCTAAAACGTTGCCATCGGTTGTCAGTGCGAAGATTTTAATTAAAAAGAATGAGAGCTAGGGTAATTAGATACCTCCAATGCATAATGACGAAACAGTAAAAAGAATGAGACTTGAAAAAACTTATGAATGAACCATTAAGTCCGCCATCGAATTGGATGGTCTTGTCCATTGAAAGATGTAAGAGTGTTAAATGCACGGCAAATTCAACGAATGAATAAATAAATTAATATATACATTTTTCTGAATGGAGTCATTGTACTTAAGTTACCTATATTGAATTAATAACAAACATAGATAAAAATTCGTTGATATTGCATATATGCGGCCAATTGATTTGTATTTTTGTAGGAGCAGAGAAATGTTGAAAAATTGCGTGTAAAAGTTACGACGTTGCATTGAAAGTCAGCATAAGCACAAATATTGATTTAAATGGTTTTCCTCTATTTCCCGATGCAGAAAAAAGAATGGATTTTACGTCATACATTTTCCGGTTGATCTATCATGTTCTGTCTCCCTCAACAGCTGCCATTGAACAGCATTGTATAATTTCTTAATGAATCCTTGCGTCAGAGCACATTTTCAGGCGCAGCTTAATACCGTCAAAAACTTTTCTTTCGTATTCTGGACAGTTATCTACCGTACATACGAAGATTATCGATGACTGAAGTCAAAAAACTTATGTGCCCACGTCTATTGCGACGGTTGAAAATCTGCCAATTTATTTTTGTGTCTTATTAAATAAAATTAACGACAAGATCTTTTTGAAACTCGAGCGATAAGAATTTAAAGGAAAGTCCAAGAATATTTTTGTCGACTTTCTTTTAAAATCACAAAACATAAATGGGGCTTGGGCAGTTGCATTCGGAGGTACGAAGTTCTGGGCTTCAGCCACTGGCATCAAAACATCCTGTCGATTGTTTGTTATGAATTATTATGACGTAAGTGCAAATTTGCATTGTGAAGGACTGTAAGGAGGGTAATCGAATCAAAATTTTGACGGATGTAAGTAATATTAGCCTAACTACATTATACGTTGCAGGCATTTCTTCCAAAATTCATTTTTTAAACTAAAACTAAGCAATATTCTGCAAAGAAAGTTTAATATATTCTGTATTATATGGATGAAATTTACAAAAAGAATTCGGACATTATGTCTTTCAAGTTTACATTCTAAGATTATAAAACATGATAAAAATTAAGGAAACGCGGATCCAGTTAGGCTGATTTTGGTTGAATACTCTTTTGTTTATAGTTACTTTGAACTAATTGATTGCCTCTTCTTTAGGACTAATAGTTCCACACGCCTATTTCTAAAGAAGAATTTAAATCTTGTTTTATAAATCTTAAATTTACTGCACTTTCTGCCACATTAGAAAAAAATTTGAACATAACTCTTTAAAACTATCATTAAGAGCTGGTTTATTAATTTTTCATCCTAGATGTCTTCTTACGCCCAATTTAAACCCTACTAACCGTAGAAGTAATAAAGATTCTAAAACAGGAAATAAAAAATAAATAACAGAAATAATACTTAAGATTCTTTCCGCAAAAGAAATTTTAATTCACGACAAATGACAATCAGGATAATCTGAATATCGAGGAGGTATTCCACCCAGACAAAGAAAGTGCTGTGGAAAACATGTTGAGTCTACTCCCATAAATGTAATAAAATTGAGAAACCAGGTTATAATTATTTAAAGTTAAACCTAAAATTAGAGGAAATCAATAAATCATCCCACCCATAATGGCTAAGATAATTACTATAGATAACGCATGATGAAAATGAGCAACAACAAAATAAGTGTCATGTAAGCAAACATCAACATAAGAATTGCCAAAAATAATTCCATTTAATCCGTCTGTAGTAAAGATAGGCAGTCCACCCAGTACCAGCCCCTACACTATAATTAGCCCCTATAATTTAGCCATAAGCACAATAGCTCCCCGCGGCATGTACAGCAGGGGGAGGGGGGGGGAGGAACGTTCTTTCAATTTGCAGAGACGAGAATCGGCTATCTTTTAGGAAAATTCATCATCGACGGCTGACAACAAATACCCACGTTCAGCTCAGATTTATCAGTACCTGAAAGAGCAGGGCAGATTTGCTTTTAACAAAATAAAGCGAAATTCCTTTAAAAATTCACAGAGGACTCTTAAAGGTCGATGTGAGAGTCATGAGGCTCAAATTATATTTTTCGTTGACTTAAAAAGATTTCACAAAAAGGTTAAAATTCACAGGGAACTTTTCAATGAGAACCGGGTACCGAACTACCAACTAGTAAATGTTCACATATGAAGCGCCTTCATTTTGAATGGATACAATAATCGTATTACCGGAGGTAGTTTAGTTGTATCCCTTAGTTTGAGTGAGAATAATGGGAGATGGGGAACCTAACTCGAGGTCGTGGATAACCAGTATACAGGAGTCCATCTGTAATAACTGGTTTGTGTGCGCAAATAAATTCCCATGGTAGTACCTCCTAAAGCCATTTCCTGAAAAACGTTGCTTGTGTTTAAAACAAGAAAACAATGGAGTTCCGGCAACAATATTTTTCTCTAATATATAGCATGAACATTCAGTTTCTACATACTAACTGACAGTTTTAAGTTGTCTGAACAACGTCTTTAATCTGAAAGTTACCTATCAATTCACTTTATACATCATGATGTAAGAAATACTCTCTAAAAGGTGAGACAGTGGACTTCCTGAGATCAAAAATCACTGGACGACAATTGATGTGGACTCTCTTCGTCAAACAAGTATTTTAATATTATGTTAACAAATACAAAACGGCTCCATTTTCTTTTTCTTGGACTGTTCGATGTTTTTGAGCTCTCTCGCTCCCCATGCGTGGGGAGGAAATATAGTCATCGTAAAAAAAGAAATTGGGCTTTTTTTATGGATAAACTCATGGTTCAACGAGCGTAGATATTATTACACTTCTGAGTCTAACTTCCTTATTAGATTACAGCACAGTGTTATGAAAGGCATCAGTGAAAAAATTGAAAGTAACTAATAATCCAAACTGTACTTGGAAGACTTTAAAGCATTTTCTTCCGAGCCCTCAAAATCCGTTTTTTTTTAACCAAACCCGACAAAAACTCCTCTGCTGAAAATTATTTTTCCGCGACTTCGGTTTCTTTCCCATTATCCTCTTAAATATTGCCAACATGAAAATTAAAATGAACGTTAGCTATTGAGCAGAGGCTCTTCATCTCTCAGCAAAAGGGCGCACTTGTCGGACAACGGACATAACGTAGTTGAAGAAGTCATCGTCTTGAACCAGCTTCAAGTGAGTAGGGCCCTGAAAACCTTTACTGGTGAATTTTGACCCTTGAAACTTCTCGCAATAGCGTAGACTCTTCAGCGGCACCACTTTATCGCCCTCAGTGGAAAGTTTTTCGTATTCTTCTGCATGGCTTAAATTGGCCGCGTGCACTCGGTACCTGAATTCGTAAAACATTTACGTAATTAGATTGGGTAAAGCAAGAGAGGTCAAAACACAATTGAAACAACAGTTTTGGCATTTTGTGAATTTTTTTTCACTTGTTACATGTTCACTTGGATCACATTTTGCAATAAGGAACCACTATCTCTGGCTCTCCCATAAAATCACATATATGCATAGGGAAACCAATGGCATGTATGTTGTTTCTAAAATGGGCCAGAAATAGTGGTTCTTTATTGCAAAATGTAATCCACTTTAAACTCTCTCCCTTGTCCACAGCTGGAATCAATGGACGGTTGGTGTGCCCGAAAGCCAAGGAAACATGCATGACCCACCCCACCGCATTAATTTGAATTCAGTTCGCTCAACCAAATCTTTAAAAAAAAGAAGAGGGAAAAAAACCTAAAGGTTTCCGAAGTTTTGAAATGTGTATTTTTTGTACAAGTAATGAGTAAATGGTTTTTTTGGGACCTACGTTACGGGGGTGTCAATTTTTGAGCTGTTCGACCAAACGCAATGATAATTCACCCCCAACTTGTCCAACCGGTAAGGATACAGCGAACGAAGATCTTGCCGCATCAGATATGCATCATATGCACCTACATCTCTGCAATAAAACGAAAAAAAAATGATGTATCCATTAAAATAAGCTGCTTGTGCGTCGATCTGACCGGCAAAAGTTATAAAGTTTAAATTAGTGTTGAAAGTTATGAAGTTTCATTCAAAAACACTAAACATTTTGAAGTCATGTTTTCATAATCTTGAATAAGACAGTTCAAAAGGAGTTTTGCAACGAATTTTTTTTTACTTACTGTATACGTAAATATTAAATATTTTTCTTTAATGTTAACATTATTTGAAGGAAAATGGAATCCTCGGAAACATTTTTGAAATATTCTCAATTTCTAATTTTATAAAGAAAGATAAAACACTTTTTTCTACCATTTAAAAATGCCTTTTGAAAATGAAATACGCCCATATTAATATTTTCAAAAATGTAGCTGGAAGCATTTGTTTAACTATTTTTCAAGAATATGATTCTTAAATATCAAAATAAAACTGCTGTGTGCTGGTGTGCTGCCAGGGTTTATGAGTTATTACTTACCATGTAGTATCGCTTCCTCGTCTTAAAAAATGGTTGGTTACAATGATTCTATGAAAAGGTAAATTAGCTACTGAATCTGAAGTCATCTGTCGACGGTAAATGTGAAAACTGTTGCGTGAAATGGGAGCTGTATATTATGGTATAAGCTAATGACAAAATATCAACTACATACATTAGATTGAATTGAGAGGTGCAATAATGGGCCTGTCTTTACTCTTACATGAAAAACTGCCGATACTCTTTTGCTGTGTACTTTTTGTTTTGGGCCACCCATTCAACCATCACTGTGTCTTTGAACGCATTTTCCTCTGGTAGTAGAAATGCTATTGATTGAAAGGTACTCAAGAGCCTTTTCATAACATCCTTGTTGATGGTGGGAACACTTTTATTATTACCTGTAAATCAAGGAGAGTAAATGTAAAAACGCAGACCACAAAAAACGCTTTGTCGGAATATTGAATAATATTTGGTTATTTAAATTTCAAAAGAAAAATATTCTAAAATCGAAGGCTCAAGTTCAAGTCTGTGTGATTTAAATGGATTGGTGTGAAGAATCGCATTTTAAGTCGTTCTTTCAACAGATCGTTTTCTCGCGAAGGCGCATAGACGTTAATTTTGAATATGATAGGTTTAGGGGATCCTTAAAATTTCATAAAAAATATCAATTTGAGGTAATCCCGGGTAAAATCCACTAGAGTAACTTTCAAAATACAAGATCATTGCAAGGGATCACAACGAATTGCCACTTTAAATAATTAAAAATACAACAGAAATAAAGTTGCGGGGTTTGGCAACTGTAAGGAAGGTTCGTGCCTGCTTTGAGGTTTGTCAAAATCATAGAATTTTTTCCTCCGTATTTTTTATTTTTTGAAGGGCAAATTATCAAAATTCTCAGAGTAAACGAATTGTGTTGGTTCAGAACGTTACCTTACCGACGATGTACTGTCCCAAAGACTCTACACTGCCGAGCCACGGGGTACCGGCCGTGATGAGAGCGTGAATATGCCTATCTTTCCAGTCTTGAGTTTTGTTCATCAGGAAATAGGCGGAGACAAGGCCGCCCATACTGTGACCAACAATCGCCACTTTTCGCCCCGTGTCGTGAGCCATGTGTTCCACAAGCTCCGTGAACGCGTTGAAGTAGCCAAATTCCTCCAGTTGTGCTTAAAAAGTTTCATAGGATTACGAGGAGATGAACTTAATAACGATTAAAATGGAAAGTTCAAATACGGTGAATACCCCCGAATCATGAGTTTTTCGGAACAACAGTTAACCTCCCATTGCTTCATTTGAACGGCATTGGTTTAAGGGAAGCCGACAAAAGTCCTGTTCATGTCAAAATTGGACCGCGTTAAACAGAAAGGAACCGAGCCACATCAGCTATTGCCAAATTTAATTAGGCAATTTAATCTTTTACGTTGAAACGGTCGTGCGGACTTTCTTGCAAATTTCAGTGTATTTTCTCCATAGTACGAAGCAAATTGCTTAAAATTTTCAAAGGAATCCGCACAAACGTTCTCTCGTAGAAAATTAAGTTGCCTAGTTAAATTTGGCAATAGCGGATGTGGCTTGGTTCCTTTCTGTTTAACGCGGTCCAATTAAACAGCATAACGAGAAGATAACAATGCCCTCCACTGGAGTGGCTAGAAATTCTTTAAGGAAAGGGGGGCGGGGGGGTATTTACATTATTTTGTGTACGTTCCTGATAATATTGTATGTCTATCCTCCAAAAGTAAAAAACAGGTACAAAGGGGGGGGGGTCCAGACCCCCTTGAACCCTCCCTGGTCTACGCCACCGATGCCTTCATAGCTACAGTGAGAATGAATAAGAAGGAAAAAACCGACACGGTAGCTTAAAATACTTGCGTTTATGAGAATGTAAATGCAGCCGCGTAGAAATGTTCCTATTTTTATGATGGAAAACCAATTTATCGATGAACAAGGTCTCAAATCCCCGGAATGAATGAGTATTACCAGATATGTTTGGAAATTTGTGAGACGTTTTTAGATCCCAGATGAAGGACATATGACCGGCAGAGACGCAATTACAGACCCATCAGTTTTTCAGAAAAAAAATTGTGAAATAAAATTGAACCCTAAAGAGCAAAGTTTCCTGTAAAAAGATACAACTTTGAGATATTTTCGTGATATTCCACAAGATTGAATGGGATAAAAAGAACTGAGATTTTTTTAAATGAAAAAGAATATACTTGCACCTCAATTGGATTGCATTTTGCAAAAAGGAACCACTAGCATTGCAATGTTGCTAAGTTTGTGCAACTTCTTTTGTCTTGGAGGAAAAACCCGATTATCCAATAATGGTTTCTATTTTACTCCCTAAAAACTGTAAATTTAAGATAAAAATTACCATCTAAATTTCATAGTTTTTCACGATTTCCGCAATTTTATTGCAGAAGATAAAGTTGCACAATCTTAGCATCATTGCAATGCTAGTGGTTCCTTTTTGAAAAATGCAATCCAATTATAAAACGTAAATTACTTCATTAGGTACTGACACTTTGATTTACTTTTGGAATTCTCGCATACCTATCGCACCTTGACTTATCATAAGCTACGATCAAACTTAATGATACTCTCTCTCAAAATTCAAAGTATTTTCCAACAATTTTACACTCAACACATTTAAGCTATAACGTGATTAAACTAAAAATTATTTATAACCTGAAACTGTGTCTCTTAATCTGGGAGCCAAAGAACCATGCAGAAAACATAGTATTCAATTTTTTTTCTTTTTTTAAAAAAAATACTTTTAATAATATTAATAATCGAAATTTAATTACGAGGTGCGTAGCGCCAGTCGTAGCAATGCGCTTTCAGGCTGTGATCCGTAGAATAACCTTTATGTTTTAGAAACCCCTTGAATTGGTGGAAGTATTTGCTCTGAGGAAGATATTTCGGCAAAGGCGCATCTGACAAGAATTCACAGCATTTTAAACTTCCCAGTTTTCCCCTGACTTTCGTTTCCACTCCATTCTGATTGGAGCATTTGTGAGTGTCTCTATTGTACAGCAACTGAAACCTGTAAGCCTGATGCAAAACAATACCTGGTGATTAAAAATGGCATTTAAAGACTCGGAACTGATCCGCGTATCCTTTTCATTTTTTAGAGTTGGCTCTGAAAGGCGAGTCAAGTTTTTGTTTCCGAACGATTTATTGTTCATTGATCGATCATCTCCCCCATAATTTTTCGATATTAGCTGTAGGCATTCCTCGGTCATTTTGCAAAAATTGCAGAAGTTAGGTTAGATTGCCAGAGTTCATATTTGTGTAAATGTGATACGAATAATATCTCCCCAGAAACTTTGCCACATTTGTGATACATGCAGAAAAGTTTCCACTTCTTCCCTCTGGAAGTTAGGTATTTTCGACCGTTTCCAGACGATAGATATATATTTTTAAATATTCCCGCTCGTAAATTATATTTTCACCGGAAAACATACAGGATTGCAAGAACTCTACAATCCTGTGATCCCGGGATTGTAAGATCGCGGTGCGCACTGTTCAGAAATGGTGTGCACCGGGGTAGGTTTGAGTTCGACACCAAGAAAATACGAAAATACTTTTCCACGACTTGAGCGCGCACTGTGGTATACGCGGAATGTATGAAGTATCCTGCAGACTTGTAAGGCGCTACTATTTGCGTCGCGCGCACCGTGCGATACGCGCAATGCATGAAGTATCATGCGGTTTTGTAAGGCGCCACTATGCGTTCCGCGCTGTGTGTGCTACCCCCCGCACTGTGTTTGACGCGATTATTCGAACTTGCGGCGTTAGTGGTTTTCAACTTATGATTCTGAAGTTTTTGTACCTTTTGAAATTTTGTCATTTCGAATGATAAAACATTTCAAAAACCCCATCTACTCAGTAAACTTTTCATTTACACAGTCTTATGAATAAATAGCTGTTTCAGCTCGCTTTGCTCACCTCTGCAGTCTGCATCTACCTAAGAGGCTCCGTCCCCTGAATCCCACATCACTCGCTTCGCGAGTACGTGGAAAACTTGAAGGAGTGGATATTGAAAATTTTGGATTTTTGGTATCATCTGGACACCAACAGCTTTCGCTTGCAACGAAAATTAAGGAAATCGTCTCGGTGATTCCTTAGAATTGAGGATCACAAAGTTTTGACCCTCACATGCAATATTCATATAGATTACTTAATTTTCTTAATATTTTACCCAGCAACTGAGTACGTGTTTGCCCCAAATAGCCATGTCCAGATTCAACCACATGTGTTCCCAGCCGTCGGGACCCTCTGACTTTTCCTCACAACCCTTTGGGTGACCGTGAGTGTGGTACTTGCCCAGGATTTGACTCTCAGTTACTCCGTGCACTGTAACGTGTAAGGGGGATATTATGGAATTTTATGAAAAATAGTAAAAAATCGATTGAAATGAATTGTAATTTAACTGTAAATCTAATTGTAATCTATAACTGTAATCTAATTGTAATTAAACTGAAAATTATTATGTCAACAAGTCTGATCTTCATAATCGTGTGAGTCAATAAATTCCTCTGCTGGAGGGTTGATAAGGAGGAATCACCAATGCTGCCGTGCTAAGAAAAAACGCCGTATGAGCCTTCAAACGTCGATTTTTTACTAATAATAATTCAGGACTTTACTGGGAAAATTATGAATGTGTTTCTTCAACATTTTCGGACAATTTTGTTTGAAATTTAATCTAAAATATCTGAAATTTTCGAAGGGAAATATGCATAACTTTCCTCAAAAATACATTTTTTATCCGGGGAAATTGGAATGTTCATACGCCGTTCCTCCTTAGGATGGCAGAATGGCAAAGCAGTTCAAAGTTCAGAGTGCAATTAAAAATGTCAAGGCTGTGCATATTTAAATCGTGCACCAAAAATTCAAGAGAACGAAATTTACCGAGTATGATTGGAGCTAATATGTCGTCGTTGTAGGTGCTGCCGTCGACTGATGAAAGGACTACGGACATCGTGAAAGTCAGAATGAAAGATCGAACAACCGGACATGCCTCTCCAAGTGCCGCGAAGTAAAATATCAACTTTGCTATAGCCAGCCACATTGCCACAAACCGACTTAGAACTACGAGTGTGCGTATGCAAATGAAGCGTTACGAGATAATAAACCATTAGTTCAATGCCTTGACATTAAATAGAGTATGGCCCGCGCTCCGTGTACAGGCGAAATTACACACCAAATTCCTGTTTACCGATATTGCAATAGCTACTTCCTTTTGAGTCAACTACTTCGAGTTCTATTTATATCCTTCCCTTTCTATCATCCCCCCCTCAGTCTTGTATTGGTACTCATTAGAGCTCAAAAATGGTGACACTAATCGAAATTTTTGGAACTTTTGTCGTTGTTTTCCTCGCGATATGGTGTGGGCCTAGCACCATTTCATCACATTGTTCTATTTATATAGCTGTTCGAATTGATTGGATCGTTTTATCAAAAATGGCCATCATCGGCCCAATGAGTTTGAATAAGCTAATTAATTGAATCATTCAAATTGATTGGTCCTGGGTCCACACTATTTTGCGAGGAAAACAAGGCCAAAATGTGCACAAATTTCTAGAAGAGTAAAAAAGTTCGAACTGTAACTAGAGTACCTGTATGGCGAGAGTATGGACAGATGTGAAACTCCGAAAATCCATCAGGCCCTCACCGATGCTTCTGCGAATAAAGTTAGGGCCCAGAAATGCAGCCAACCTATGAATTTCAATTATCCAGAACGATTTACTAACACTATTGTTACGAACCGTCGTTTATAAAGCACATATTTGACTTAGTTTTTGCATACATTTACTTATTTTTGCAGAAGAACGCTCATTTTTGTACATTCTTGGCAATCTTGGTTAGAATTGGAATTTGCAGACTCTGCAGATTGACAGTGACATTTTGTGTGATAGAGGGTGGTTAGAGGGATGGCTGTACTTTTGGGCCCGAAGACCTCCATGAAGCGATCTGTCCATACTCTCGCTATACAGGTACTCTAGCTCTAACGAGTACTAGTACAAGACCGTTGGGGGGGGGGTGTAAGCTGAGGTGGATGCTGAATATTATGCTGAGAAAGTTAGAAAATAAGAATTAGGATGCACTCAGGAAATTAATCTCCAAAATTTTCAGGGGAGGAGTCTTCCATCAATCTTCTCGTGGGTCGCTCTAAGTATTCATACATTTTTTGATGCCTCTGTCAGACGCGTGTGACCCACACTTCCACCGATGACCTTAATACCGGTAATGAGCAATCTTGTAAATTATTTACTTCCACGAATAATGGGCGTTTCCGTATTGAATATCACGTCAAAGCACGATCTTCCGCCCTGTAGTGAGAGCACCAAGAACGTACATCTGGGATACCTAAAACCACACCATTTTTGATGACTTGGCATTTTATCAATTAAACGTAATTGAAAGAATCTCTGAACTTTTTCTCCCGTGTCCTCTTGCTGGGGTATGTTCTGTGCGCTTCATACCCCTCGGATAGGCTCCTGGAGCACCTACTTCTAATTTTGTGCGGATCGGCCAACCAATCGTTTGAGTCTTCTCAGAGTTCGAACTGTGCAGTGAAAAAGAAAACAGTGATTATTTGTAGTTGCGTGAGTATTTTGTGTCTGAAGCAAATTTTACGCCGGATTAAGCTACAAAGCACGGCATGAAATCTGGAAGTTTCTTTTCAAGCTATGAATAAATCGTCGAAATGTATTTTCGAATACCTAAGTAGCTTAGCGCAACGAAAAACTCGATATGAAGTTGCAATTTATTGCGATTAAATTGCATTTTTTATATTAAAAATTACAATGGTCTTGTACATTTTTGGTCCATAAATGCCGATTTCAAACATCAATAGAATGAGATTGTGTAGTTGTAATAATAAGAAGATAGGCAGTTTGCAGTACAGAAAAAGATAGCACCTCTATTTATTTGTATCGCAAAATATTTCAATAAGATGAGTCCCTTCTAATAGTGCATAGGCATCATTCACAACACTCCGATGCAGGAGCAATAACTTAACCGTGTGCTTTCAAATTATTGCAACTTGTGCTACTTGGGTAATAGAGACACGCTGGTTTCTACTTTTGAGATGCTGTTAAATTATTTTTTTTTTCTTCATAATTATCAGTCACTATAACTATAGTAATAGAGTTTCGGCATTCAGAATCTCGTTTATTCCTGATGATCTTTGAACATATTTCTTGAGGTACAACGTAGTTAATACTTTAACATTGTGTATTTCATCCACAGGCATAATGGACCTCTTTGATCTTTTACCCATCTCAATTGATTCGCATATCCTCCTGCTGAGCATTATTGCCCTCATTCTATATTACATCTATTCCAAGCATAACTATTGGAAAAATCGCGGTGTGGCTTGTGGGTCAACCCTAAGACTCTGGCTACAAGTATGTGACTGTTCCAATTTCTCATTTTTACCTGGCATGTTAATTTCGACTAATAATTATAATTTCCTCATGAGTAGTCAATAAAAATTACTCAGAAACAGCTCCTCGCAGTCTCTGAGTAATTTTTTACAATTTATTATGTATTTTTTAACCGAATTATTTCTACACACTAAAAAAGAGGGGCATGGAAGACAAGGCGCATAAGTGCAGCTTTTGCTGTTTCGAGAAATACGTGTTTGAATTTTCGAAATTAAATGGATCCTCATGGCGGAAAGTGAGTTCAAAGTAACTTTTTGAGGCTTAAAAATTGGATCTTGGGAGCGAATTTTTCCCAGAATATGCTTTATGACTAATTTCACCTGAAGTCATTACTATCTCAATTTTTTCAAAAACTGCACTTATGCGCCTTGTCCTCCAAACCTCTCATATTGTTCTTAGGACTACATCAGTCTGATGAAGGGTGAGAGAAAATTCTATTTTGAGGAATGATGACGTAAATGAAACTGTTGAAACAGAATCAAATTAAGGAACTTTTTCTGACAGAGCAGATGTATTTTCCTTTGTAATTTTGAGGAACTTATTGTGATTTTTACATGATCTTCAATAAATATTAGTAAATATATTCACAAATTATAGTGATTTTCATTTGGTAATGCAAATTTTAATACTGAAATACTTCTAATGTTGTATTAACCATACATATTTTATTTTATCACACCTTTTAAATATTTTTGAAATTAAATAAAAAAAAGACTTTCTGGCGAGAGAATATGTGTATAAAAAATTAGAAAACCCAGCGAAATGGAGGGGCTACTTTTGAAATTGGAATACTCGTGGTGTATGTAGTATAAAATATATTTCATTTTATCCCACAGTTAAAATAATTTTAAAGTTAAAGAATAATATTTTAGAGGCAAACATAACATATCCCTTAAAAAAACACAGGGAATCCAAACATATGAGAATCTTAATTTTAAGAACGTCGTCAGTTGATGGTGACGTTTTAAAAGTATATATCGGTGGTGCATGTCTTGTGGAAAACTTATTTTATTGAATCGTAAAATTTTCTTTGAGATTCAAGAGACACAAAGTAATACTAAAATATTCATAGTATTCATTCGTATTATTCATCCGCTAGAATCACGTACCTTAAAATTTGACTCATCCAGATACTGAAAAATACCGTCACGCGGGACGATAACCTTTCGTAAATCGTCACTCAATTTTTTGTGTTGTCATTAATTTGGAGGAGATTCCGAAGGAGAGGCTTTTAATGGCTGGTTCCGAAGTAAGTTTTTTGAGAGCGGAAAAGTACAATCTTTTTTAGTCATCGTTGGGCCGCTGACAGTTCCTGGAAAATTGAAATATTGCGATAGGTATATTGAACGCATGAAAAAGTAGAACGCACGCTCGAATATTGTAACTTAACACCACTCTCCGTCACCCGAGAGTGATATACCTAGGTACCGGTAAACGCAAAATGAAATCGCTGAATCTCCTTGTTGATAGCAATTCTCCTCGTAGATTCTATCTAGATCTTTCTTCGTAGATCTTTGATTACGCCCGAACTCATCTCCGAAGCTCCCGAAATACTTTTATCGACAAAATGAGGTCGAATAATGGGAGTCAAATTTTTATTTTTCAGTGTCTTACCTATCGAATTTGATTTTTGCAATGAGGAAATACGTGATTAAGTCGGGTTCAACGATTGGCGATTGAAAGAGTCCATGAATTGTGTGACTTTTGTTCCCTCTGTTAAATCATTGTGACTACCAAAAAAACTTAGCGAGGGCTATTTATTATTGAACAAGTTTTGGCAGAGACCTTTTTTAACTACTAAATTCTATACTATACTTGTAGATTTTCATTTCTAAATGCAAAATATGTGTTTATTGTTTATTCATTTTATGATGGGTAATTAGACTACGTTTAGCAGGAAGAAACCAAGCCACGTCAGCTTTTGCCATATTTAACTGGACACTTTGATTTTTTACACGATTACGGTCGTTTAGATTTGTGTGCAAATTTCAGTGAATTTTCTGCATAGCACGTAGCAAATTTCTCCAAATTTTCAAAAGAATCCGCACAAACGTTCTCTTGTAAAGAATTAAATTGCCCAGTTAAATTTGGCAGTGGCTGATGTGGCTTGGTCCCTTTCTGCTTAACGCAGTCCAATTATAGTGGGCTGAGTGATGACATTTTTCTTTTGACATTGACATCGGCTCTGATATCAACCTGTTATCTTCCAGTTGTTCGGAATCCTCATCGGTAAAATACCATTCTGGGAATGGGCTCGCGATCAGTACAACGCCCTACCCCAGCACAAATTTTGCGGTACTTTCACCTACGGGAGGCCTACGTTGTTGATCCGGGACCCGGAATTGATAAAGGTGTGTCTCGTCAAAAGCTTCTCCAGCCTCCACGATCGCTGCTCCGAGCCGGATCCCGTCTATGATCAGCTCTCCAGCAACCTTTTCCAGATGGTCGGCGAGAAATGGCACCAGGTCCGCCAGAAGGTATGTCTCCACATCTACCGGGAAAAAGTCCCCGGGATCCAGTGTTCACACGGAGAAAAATCTATGGCTTTAAACCAATTAGTGGTCCAATTAGAACACCACTAATAGTGGTTCGTAAATAAACTCATAATTCTCGGTCTGTGAACCATACTAAGGTATCTCGTCCCATACTAAGGTATATATAACATCACTAAGGTATATGTGCTGAATCGGTCATACTTTTTTCTCTCATTCTCATTGAATTTCAAAACCTCCAGTTCCATTCTGCTCTCTATGTCAACATTGCTCCCTTACAATCGACCGTATTTTCATTATACATATGATTTCAATAAAGTTTATATAGAGATGCCATAAAATAAAACGGCATTTTCTGCACTTTTGAATCACCCGCATGCAAAGTCCGCTACTTTTTTAAAATCTAAGAGCTCCAAGAAGCCGAATGTGGCTCTCTCTAAGTCTGTATACTCTACCTTTTCTTATTAACGGTCGTAAATAAACAAAATTGCAACATGATATGTTCAAAGGTGGCACCTGCCTTCAGCCCTCTGAAACTGAGAATCATGTACCAGACGCTGAAGGAATGCGCCCGAGAGCTGGACCTCTACATGCAGTCGATGTGCGCGGAGACAGGCGAAACGGAAATTTGCGTCAAGTACCTGATGACCAACTACACCATGGACGTTATCGGTGCTTGCGCTATGGGCATCAAATGCAACGCAATCCAGGACCCGGAATGCCAGTTCAAGAAAATCGTCGATCAAATGATGTGTTACGACCTGAGACGAAACGTCTATTTCTTACTCGAAATAATCTCGCCGAAATTGCCGAGGCTCCTCAGATTCAAGGCCATTCACAAGGAGGTGAACATACAGGGTTATCCAAAAGTCACGCACCACTGGCCATGAGGGGGGTGGCCATTTGAAATTTTTGAGTTGCACACCACCCCCTTCCCCTTGGGGGGGGGGGTCAAAAACTGGAAAGTACCTAAAAAGTTTCCCTCTCAATATGAGGAAAAACGTCACAAACCTCAAATCGATATCTTAATTAGAACTAAAGTTATGCCCAGTGGTGCGCGACTTTTGAATAACCCTGTATAAACAAAAGTGATGAATAGCTGCCAGCCTCTGTTTTATCAATACATTCTTAAGAAATCATTTTAATAAAGTAATGATCGTAAGCATTTCTATCAAACAGAATACTATGTGCGGATTGGAAAGATGGGGTGTGCTCGTGGTAAAATGGCTAAGAAGCAATGTAAAAGTGGGCTCGACTCCTTTTGGAGACTTGGGCCAGCGGGATTTTTAATTCACCAAACGGAACTACGTGCCAATTCTACGCGGGACTCATGATCCGTGGGCATGGCAAAAGAGCGTTGTGAGGCGCTTTATAATTCCCATTCTCCCTTACGGCCCGCAAACTAACGAGCACATACCATATTTCTCACCCGCACATAGTTCTGTTTGGTAGAAATACGTGCAAATATTGAGGATAGGTTGCCCAAACAAATTTTGGATTGGGCACCACCTGGAAAAAGGTGACAGGCACGATATGGCGGCAGGGCATTGACTTATTAAAGATATTGCGTTGTCAGTTGCTTGATAACCTTTGCGAAGGTAGGCCCATGTGGCATTCCATCTATATCCAAAATCCATCCGTATACATGCGCAAATCCATATATCGACGGTGTAAGTTGGCAATCACATAACTCGATTTGCGACGTCGCAGACTTCCTATCATACTTTACTTTTTAAACGGAAAACTACTTAACGGCTATTTTTTAAAACTGCAGTGATTTTTCTTCTCTATGCGAAGAAAATTCTGCAAAAACTTTAAGGAATCATGGTGTCAATTTGTTCTCCTCTAAAAAAAATAACATAGAGGCGGAGATTTTCAGACACCGCAAACGAGTTATGTGATTGCCGACTTACACCGTCGATATATGTAAGCCTAACGACAAAATGGAGAAAAATTCCGAGACGTTTCGGGACCAAACATCCCCTTTCATAATCGGTAAAAACAAAAATTTAAAAAATCGAAAGCTGAAAATCTACTAGTTCGAATGAAGCAACAGCCCACCAATTACGTTCCTATAAAGCAATTTTGTATGTTTCAAAACCATTATCATTATTTACCTATTTAAATCTAAATTATTGTACTTGTAGGTGGAGGAGTTTTTTCGATCGGTCGTCAGGGACACGATGGAAATGAAAAAGCGGGACGCCAACCGCGCGTCTGCCCGCAAGGACTTCCTTCAGATTTTGATGAATCTTCGGGATTGCGAGCAGGCAGCAACCGCAGAATGTAGCACGGGAGCTCTTGAGGCCGATGGTGAGAGAAATATCAAGAAATATTCAAGGAAATCAATTGAAAATAGCTCTGAAATACTGTAAATGCGTGAAAAAAAACTTGACTCACAACTCACACAAGTCGTTCATGGGGGATGCAATTGGACAGCGTTAAGCAGAAAGGAATCCAGCCATATCAGCTATTGTCAAATTTAACTGGGCAATTCAATGTTTTACATGAAAACGGTTTTGCAGCTTTTTTCTGCAAATTTTAGGGAATATGCCGCATAGTGCAAAGCAAATTCCTTAAATTACCTTCCTTGTCGGCCTCCTATGGTTTAGTGGTTATTAGCTAGCTCTATTATCAGGGGGTCCCGGGTTTGATTCTCGGTCAGGTGACCCGAGTTTGATGGCTTCAAACAATAGTTGCCTGGGACTGGTTCAGTGGGGACGGAGGGGGCTGGGACAAACGTTCACCAGTAAAAAATGAAACTATCCAATTAAATTTGGCAATGGCTGATGTGGCTTGGGTCTTTTCTGCTAAACGCAGTCCAAATTATTTCGATGCGTGGTTCTGTCTAATCATCTAAATGGAGGCTTACAACACCATTCCGATGGTAAAACTGCAGAGATGTGTATCTCCGTTTGCGGTGGTGTAGACTTCCTACTATAGGTAGTTTATTATCTACATGGAGAACTACCGAACGTCATTTTTTGAAAATTTCAGTGTTTTTTAACAAGTCCATAAAAAATACTCTGTGAAAACTTCATGACATGATGTTGGTCCAGTCTCTTTTTAAAAAATAAACTCGATGCGGAGATTTCAAAACAGCGTAACTGAGCTCGGTCGCGCTGTTTCGAGATCAGGATTTGAAATGCAGTAGAGCAAATATGCAATTTCACCGTTGATACGCTATAAAACGTGATGCAAGAGGCTCCTCATTGGCTCTCCGCTTTGCGGTGGCGATGTGTGTTGAAGGGGAAAAAACTCATTAAATGCTAGTTGTTAGAGGTATTGATTGACATACATTTAGTCATCCGCGTTTTTTTTTTTTTTTTTTTTTTTTTCCAGGAGCACTCTTCTGTGAGGATATCCTTGTCGGGATGATGAGTGTGTTTCTCTCCGCGGGATTCGAACCCGTCGCTTGCACGGTAACATTTTGTCTGTATGAACTAGCCCGTCATCCTGAGATCCAACAGAAACTCCACGAAGAAATCAAACTTGTAACAGGAGGCAACATTGCCGATATAAATTATGATGACCTTAGAAAACTTTCATACATGGAGCAGGTCATTGATGGTAAGATAAAATCAGTTTTTCAGAATATTTTTTCTTCACGCAGCATTTTTTACACAATAATATTCTCTCCGCGGGATTCGAACCCGTCGCTTGCCCGGTAACGTTTTGTCTGTATGAACTAGCCCGTCATCCTGAGATCCAACAGAGACTACATGGAGCAGGTCATTGACGGTAAGATCAAATCAATTTTTCAAAATATTTTTTCTTCACGCGTGCGTTTCTCCACGTCGTGCTAAGGAAGAATGCCGTACGAGCATTTAAAAGTTGCCAATTTCCTTGGAAAAAACATGTATTGTTGAGGGAAGTTTTGAGCTTTTTTCCTTGCATTTTTCAGATACTGTAGTTTCAATTGCGAAAAAAATTGTCTGAAATTCAAAGGAAAAATATTTACATATTTTCCACTAAATTTGATTTTTATCGAAAGAAATATGGCAACGTTTGAAGGTTCATACGGCGTTCAGTCTCGTAGGCGCTAATACGTTTTTCACGCAAACTGGCCGGCTGCACTGCGTTTTGCGCAATGCGAGAAGTATTCATGCAGTCTTGTAGGCGCTAGTATGGGCCGACCGCACTGTTTGGCGCAATGCGTGAAGTATTCCTGAATTCACGCAGGCGCTAATGCATGCTTACCGCCGCGCCGCGCCGGCCTCACCGTGTATGGCGCGATTATTCGAACTCACGTTAGAATAATCGCGGCATCGAATAATAGAGTTTAAAAGGCCTATGTCGTGTTTCGTGGCCGCATGAGCATTCCAACGTTGCCTCGTTTCTCCCCTTTTTGAATATTTCTTCCAAGATAATTTTTTAAGTTAGGAAAGTTCTTTATACCCACGGCCATTATTCAATCTTCTCACTTCATTCATCATCAGAAGGCATAAGAAATCGATGACTTATCAACAAACTATCTTAAACCAGCGTTAACATAAAAATGCGTTTATTTTCCAGCTGCTTCCTGTTTTGCCAACCTACTACCTTAAATCAACTTCATTTTAAATTTGCGCATTTCTGTAGCAGATGTTAAGGTTTCTTTTCGCACAATCTTGTGCCTTTTTAGCGCAATCCTCATATATTTTCTTACACCTTCCACGCAATCCTGGAGAGCTTATTTGGCCCCTTAGAATTTCAGTGATATATGAGCAAGGTCGGAGATCCGTTCTTCAAAAAAAAATTGGTTCCACTTCGCACTCGTATTCCTTCACGTAAGACAATTCTGCTTACGAAGTGAAATGCAATTCGAATTTTACTTCAATATGTTTGACAATGCAATTATTTCCCACGCCTTTTAAAGTTTTTTTTTTTCAATTTTGACATGTAAAATTTATCAGATTACCAAAAGTACTCACGCGAACTATGAAACTTAAAAAAATACCGAAATTCTATTATGTATGATTTCCTCAAATTTATGAAGTTCGTCTTTTGTAATTCCATAATCAGAAACACTCAGGAAGTACCCAGTGTTTCCATGCATCGAGCGGATTTGCAACGAACGCTTCATACTGCCGGAGACAAGTCTTGTGATTGAGGAAGGGACCATCTTCTTTGTCCCAACGATCAGCCTTCATCATGACCCTAGGTTCTTTCCTAATCCAGATGAATTCGATCCAAATCGGTTTGCGGAACAGAATATTGATAAAATTATCCCCGGCTCGTACTTACCATTCGGCGACGGACCAAGATGCTGCATTGGTAAGTTTTCATTCAATTCAAGTAAGAAATTTTAATTTAAAATATACTTAGAAAAATCATACTAAATTCTAGGTGAAGGTCTCATCCCTATAATCCAAATTTGTACTAAAAATTGCATGTACATACTACAAACGTAATGCTAATAGATTCACTGTAATAGTTTTTTTTTTTTTTTTTTTTTTTTTTTTTTTTTTTTTTTTTTTTTTTAAACGTGAGGTTGGTGTTAAATGTTAAAAAAAAATCTTCGGGCACACAGTTCAGACAGTACTAAATGCAGAAATGTCTTCCACTACGCAGAGTTGCATCAGTTTGACAGCTTTAGCGTAAGCATTTAAAGTTACATTGTAATGATCATGGTTTCCGCGCACTGGTCTCGGGTGTATTTTTTGCTTTCTATAATATCGAAGTAATTCGGACTGCATTTTGCAATTTGGACCTATAAATTCTGGCTCATCTGAAAAAACACACTATGTGCATAGGGAAACTAATGGCACATGCGTTGTTTTTAAACCGGGCCGGAATTTATAGGTCCAAATTACAAAATACAGTCCATTTAGACTCTTTCTCTTGGCAGCCCTTTCTGCATAGGACGCCGGTATTTGGACATATACCTGCCAAACGGAACCAGTGGCAGGTTGGAAAGAAGGGGTGTGCTCTTCACTCGAGGGCCGTAAGAATGAATGGGAATTATAAAGCACCAGTGACGTCAGCAGTAACAAAGCCGTCTCCGTTGTCGCTCTCGCGGTCGGCATTAACTCATGAGCCCTGTCCACAACGCTCTTTTGCTATGCTCACGTCTCATGGGTTCGCATTCAGTTGGCACATAGTTCCGCTAGAAAGAATGTTAAATCCAACTTTTCCATTTTTTCAAGGGGAATCACGCCCACTTTCACGTTGTTTCTTATGCAGCTTCAACGAGCACACCCCATCTTCCCCTCTCGTCTTTAGTTCCGTTTGGCAGAAATACGTCCAATTTACGCCACAAGATAATTGGACGTATTTCTGTCAAATGGAACTAAGCGCCATAGGGGGAGGAACGTAGAGGGGGGCTTGGATTGGCGGCGGAACTGGGCACCACGGGTCACTGGGCAATGCATGAAGTATCCTGCGGTCTTGTAAGGCGCCACTATGCGTTCCGCGCCGTGTGTACTAGCCCCGCGTCGGCCGCACTGTGTTTGACGCGATTATTGGAACTTGCGGCGTCAGCGGTTTTCAACTTATGATTTTGAAGTTTTTCTACGTTTTGAAATTTTGTCATTTCAAATGATAAAACATTTCATAAAACCCATCTACTCAATAAACTCTTCATTTACACAGTTTTATGAATAACTAGCTGCTTCAGCTCGCTTCGTGCACCTCTGCACCTACCTAAGGGGCTCCGCCCCCTGAATCCCACATCACTCGCTTTGCGGGTGCGTGGAAAACTTGCAGGAGTGGATATTGAAAATTTTGGATTTTTGGTATCATCTGGACACCAACAGCTTTCGCTTGCAACGAAAATCAAGGAAATCGGCTTTGAATTGGACGTATTTCTATCAAACGGAACTAAGCGCCATAGGGGAAAGAGGGTAGAGGGGGGCTTGGATTGGCGGCGGAACTGGGCTTCGGGCTCATTATCCGTCCTATATACTTGCAATGCTTTTCCAAGGCGCTTAGTTCCGTTTGACGGAACGCGCTATCCGGCGTTCTTAATTCCTTAGAAGGAGCTCAAATTGGCGCTTAGTTCCGATTGACAGAAATAGTCCAATTAGGAGTATCAGACCTGCCAGATCATTCTTTTGAAGGTCCAAATAATGAGCACGGATATATTTTGCGCAAAGAGTACCTCGCGGAATTGTATTCACATCGTTATCTCTGAGATGAAGAGTTTAAAGCTAGCATGTCACAGGGCTGGTGGGTGCTATTTCTAAATTTGACTCATTTTTAAAAGCATGGTTGATTTCTCCATTAGTTGAATGTGTCACCAAAAAAGTTTTCACGTCCTGTCATGGTCGTGTTTTTGCCGATGCACGCAAGACCAATCTATCAGTTTAACTTTTTAAACTGCGAGAAAACATCCCAAAAAGTCTAAAATTGCGTATTTTACATATTTTCAACTGAGAAAGATATGGAAAATTGGTGAAAATTATTCTACATAAATTACTAATCTTAGCTTTTCAAAGGGCTGGAATGCTTTAAATCTGAACAGTATAACTCTGACAAAGTAGGTCTGCGGACTTATTGTCGAAATTGGTAGATAAAGCTATAGACAAAAATGACAAAAGGATATGGAGGGATCCTATTGGCGTAGGAATGTGGTTGCAATGGAAAAAGAAGGTAGGTAATAGACTAACTAACGGCAACCCATGGGACCCTATAGTTAGTACATCATTTCCTCCCTTGGTCTTTAAGATCCACTCATTTCAACCAATAAGATCGCTCCATACTCCTTATGTCTTCTTTGTCTATAGCTTTGTCTATCAATTCCAACAATCAGTTTCCAAGCGTGTCCAACATTTCAGGATGCATTGTCAGCACGTAAGCTACTGTACCTACCAGTAATTGCAAGTCCAGTGACTTAAGTTACTTATGCTTCTTATTTAAGAATTAACTTAATAAGTTAACTTATTTTTCAGTGACTTAAGGTATAGCTGGTTGGACTTCATGTAAAACATAGCAGAACATATTGTAATACAGAAATTTTGCAAGATTGATCGTTTTTACGACCTGTACTTCACAAAAATAATTGCACGAAATTCATATGATTCGTATTATGATTTGTGACTGCTTTTATTTCTCCTCTAAATATTTTAATTTTTCCAAGTGTTAACATTTTCAGGTTTAAAAACTAACTGTGGATATAGACTATTTTATCAGTACTAGCTTATACATTTTTTTATACATAATGGTGTTAGAAGTCAATTTTTTGGTGAGAAAAAAGCGTCATTACATTACGTTACGTGAATACATGAATATCTCAAATGAATTACATATTTTTAGGGGTATGATTTGCTTTGTTACCAAAGCGTGTAAACTAAAGTACCGCTGATCTACGCAAGTACCCTGACTGTCAACTGTTCACAAAACTCCATGAGTTGTTTTAGTTTATTTAATTTTAATTGGACACATTTTAACCTACTATTTCATGTTCCAGCCAGTCGCATGGCTATCATGATGATCAAAACAATGCTGACTACCATGATACTGAGTTACAACATTTCTCCCTGCGCTCTGACACCAGAACGGATAGAATTCGATCGCTCCCGCTACGCACTAAGTCCACCGAAAGCTGGTTTGATGCTTAGGATTCAGAAAAGGAAATCATAATTTTTTAAGAAACTCATAATATTATAGGATTATTTTTCGAGAGCACTTGAATCCACCACCTAATTTCAGCCTTTTTTGACACTTTCTGTATTGTTAAATCTGCCCCTTTCGAAAAAGTTGAGAGCTGTTTGCTATTTCAAAGATAAAGATGATTCACTTTAAAAATGTTTTACCAACTGAAGTAAAAAATCTTGCCAAAATGTTTTATTCCCTCCTCTTGCAGTAAAAATGAATAAATATATATATAAAAAAACTAGCGACCCGTACGTGCTTCGCACGTATGAAACATACAATCAGAGAAAACAGAATTCATCTCACAATAATCAATAATCAGTAGGACATGAATCGTTGCGATGTATTATACAACATTATAATGCGGCATTACTATTATAATGCATTATAATGGATTATAGGCATTATAAATCATTATTACCACGTGGGAATGAAATGTTGCAGAATGAATTGAAAAGCATGTTGGCAAAATGTATTACAAAAATAGTATAACATGTAGGTACATAACATAAAGGTAATACAAATTAAATGATTAGAGCGTGTAAATTTTATTACATTATAGGTATATTATAATCATTTTTGTCATTGTTGGAAATTTTGATAGTTTGAAATTTGATAGTTGATAGTTTGATAGTTGAAAATGTTGGCACTTTATTTAGATAAGGTGATTCGTAGAAATAGTTACTCCAAAAAATCATGTTAAAGCAGAGAAGTACGACAATGACGTAAGGACGTTTTCATTGCCATACTGCAAGGAAAAATTTCCGTCCGCAATCCGAGCAATTCCAAAAGGAAAAAAACATCATTATCATTAATATAAACTTCGAAGGATTCAGACTTTCAGCGATTCTACCTTTTTCTATTTCACTCGAGAGGTTGCCAGATTGTGCGATAAATGTGAATATTTTACATAGATTTGAATTAGGAAAAGGGCTAAAAAAGCAACTTATCTGACAGCAATAGAGTCCGGGAGGGACGAGAGGCTGTCTTCCTGGGAAAACCCATGATTTAGCCGGAAATGTCATTAAAACAATTGATTCCGTTTAAAGCATCAATTGTATACTAGGGGAGAGCTATTTTAAAATGATAATTGTAAATGAACACAGATGCTACAGAAAGGGAAAAAGGAAAGAGAAAGGAATTGAAATGAGGATATGATTACTAATATGCAATCAGAGAGAATAAAACAAAAACATCAGTGAAATTTATATGCGATGAAAGTATAAGAAAAAAACACGAGTGGGCTCATTGCGATTCGGAACTCGAACTATACTATCGTTGAGCAGTTTTTAGATCCCAACGCCACCGATAATCTTCTTAAGAGGTAAAGATGAACTTTTGCTACTTCAGCAAGTCAAATCGCGGAAGGAGATCCATGGATTGTCTTTTCCGCCACCCGATGGGATGACGTCCCAGTCAAATGCGTTTTTGAAGAAATGATCGATCCCCATCATCGCTTCATTTCCACACATTTATTCNAGGAATCGGCCGACGGAACGGTCCGAGGGGCACCGCGCCCCCCGGAAGCGCAAAAAAACGAAACGGCCGGAGGGACAAGGAGCCGATAGCCGGGACGCGACCGCACGTCGAAGCGCGACCGAAAAGACGCGCGCCAGGCCGAGGGACGGGCGAAAAACGGAACCACCCCCGGGGCCCGTAGCAACCCCCCTGGGGGTGGGAACGGGAAAACCCGCGGGGAGAACGGAGACCCGGCCGCGAGGGGTCCGCCGAACGAACATCAAGGGCGCGGGACGCGCTGGGACGGCGTGGCGGGGACCGATGTTCAGAGGGTCGCGGGGTAAATCGTATAACTTTATATAAGAGATTATAAACTCAAGCTTGACTCGGGAATTTACAAATATAAATTTACCGAACACTAAGATTTCTTATTTCATTTCCACGCAACTGCCTAAAAGAAGTACCACCTCACAGGGATGAAGATGAGATTCAGGATTACAGTAAGTCGATTTTCCAACTTTTCATTCCCCCCTTTTTGACAATGACGGTTGTCAGTTGCTTAAGTGGCTTAGTGGCTCTCTGATTGCCTTTGTCAAAAGAATAATCGACTTTATTGGTCACACTAATCCCTGAACGGATATCGTAATCAGAATGGACCACCAGACCAGGTACGAATTTCAGCATTCTGATACATGTTTCTTCACCAAAATTTCAAAACACGATACGCACAACAAAAATTATCGAAATCAACTCCTCCCGAAGATATTTAATGATTGTTGGTGCGTGAATTAAAACCACCCGCTCATGAAAACTCAATGTTCTACGTAATTCACACCGTGTGCTGAACGTTATCATGACAGTCTCTGCGATATAAAAATCTGGCAACCTCAATCTTGACGCTTTGGCTCAGCTGTAGCAAATTGCTCATACTTTGGACATCACATGGTGGGAAATGAATATTGCTTGATTGAGGAGCTTGCTGAAACCGTTGTAGTGCGCGATTTGACTCGCGTAGAGCTTTGAGTTTCTTGTGAGCGGGCAGTTCAAATTCCTCATGACCAATGTGCAAGAAAGATGTTAGATTCTCCGTTAGGAATTGTTAAGAAATATGTATCAGAATGCTTAAATTTGTACCTTGTCTAGTGGTCCATTTAACTTGGTGACATAATCAATCGACTTCCAATGCCAGTGAAAAATTTACTCAAACATTTTAAAATTGGGGGCTCGATCCATGAAGATGTAAGAATGCATGTTTGGAAAATATGTTCGTGATATTAATGAAGAAACTAGCGGACTTCATCACTGATTTTGTGCACAGACAAAGTCGCAACTTGCAGAGTCGAAAATGGGCCATTCACCTCTCCCTTCAGTAGGAGATCATTTCGTTGGCTGATGAATTTGGTGAATCAACGCATTAGTTTTTCTTGGATATTTTTTCGCAATAACAAGAAAAACACTTTCAGAACTGCCATTAACTGAACCTAACTAACCTAACCTACCCTAACTCGAAAATGGGTTATTCACCTCTTGCTTCAGTAGATCATTTCGTTGGCTGATGAATTTGTTGAATCAACGAATTAGTTTTTCTTGGATACTTTTTCGCAATAACAATAAAAACACTTTCAGAGCTGCCATTAACCGAAAATGAAGTAGACGAGGAGCTTTTTTTTACGCTCATCGTTAGGTAGACTGGATTCTTGGTAAGGGAGAACGGTGGGAGAGCGAAAAATGAGAAGCGCGAATTTGACAAATGAAGTAGATGAGAAAATTTTTTTCGGCGCTCATATTAAAGTATTTGTGTGTGATTTTAGTCTTTAAAGGAGCCCGAACACTTGCATGTCATGAAATTGTATAAAAACGTTTAATATCACTCCGAGTTGAGTCGCGTCAACGTGTGTGGGGTAACTCTACTGGTAAGAGCTTCAGGGAATTAGATTTCAATCCTGACCGTCAATCATGCTAGAACAGCTCCTGTTGACGCATTAGCACAATCGGATGCCTCACGATGGGCGTAAGGGGGGCAAAAAGCCACTGTGATCTGGCTTCCATCTCATTGGCGATATAAATGTGGATCCTCCGGAAAAAACAACCTACATTCGCAGCAACGGTGGAGGATGCTCATCGCCTCAGTGTTTCAGCGAACGTGTGAGTGATGATGGGTGCCAACGGTGTGTGCTGTTTAGTGCTTTTCGCGGCTCTTGGCCCGTTCGGCAGTGTGGCGGATAAATGGTGGGAGAATACGGTCATTTATCAAGTTTACCCGCCATCCTTTTATGACTATGACGGCGACGGATACGGTGACTTGAAAGGTAAATTGATTTGATTTTTTTTTTATGCATCACCGTGATATCCAACGAAATTCATTCTTGTGCATTATACTGAGGCCCAGCTGGGAAGATTACTCCATTCCGCCCAGCAGGACGATTATTGAAAATGGAGATGTTGCATGTGTGAGGAATTTGCGATTTGACTGTTGATTCTTAAGTAAAAGTTCGCGAGAAACACGATGGTGCCACTGGTTCTCTCTGAAATCAACTCCTAAGCTCAGTTGAGGCCAGAATGAAGAGAATATCCCACGCTATCCTGAGAGTCCACCTCTACATCAAGACAAACTCTCCATGCAAAGATAGGGAGCAAATACATTAGCAGGGTTGCTGTGTTTTCAGTTTTGGAGTCCCCAAATAAAAAGGCAACCCTGCTAACGTATTTGCTCCGTATCTTTGCATAAAGAGTTTGTTTTGATGTAGAGGTGGACTCTCAGGATAGCGTGGGATATCCCCTCCATTTTGGCTTCAACTTGAGAGCTTTTTCTCAGCTTGGGAGTTGATTTCAGAGAGAACCAGTGGCACCATCGTGTTTCTCGCGAACTTTCACATAAGAATCAACAGTCAAATCGCGAATTCCTCACACATGCAACATCTCCATTTAAAGCAGCCCGATAAGAAATCGAATTGTGATATATTGCATGGTTAAAATAGGGCTATGTCTTGTCGTGTCGGGCTGACATAGTTTCAATAATCGGACCGCAGGGGTATTTTTTGCAAACCCTAGCAGGAACAGGATCAAATATTGGGCCAAGCTTCAAGCTTTCTGAACATAACAAATGCCCACAATAAAATCTTACTTGCTATACTCAACTACTCACTTCCTCCTGCCGTGAGGACTTACAAAATTTACCGATTGCCTGAGAGGAGTAGCGTTTCACAGTGATTAAGATGAGATTCAGGATAACATTAAGTCGATTTTCCAAACTTTCATATCTCTTTTTTACTAATGACGGTTGTCAGTTGCTTAGGTGGCTCTCTGATTGCCTTTGTCAGATGATTAAAAAAATACTTTTAAAATTTTCAGATTTTTTTAAAATTACATTCATTTTGTGAGTATACTTAAACTCTTTAATCTGTGGGATAAAACGATTAAATTGATACTAAGGATTTAGTAAACTGCATAAAAATGAGTCACGAACCTTTAAAAAATATTAAGTGACTGTTAGGCTTTTCTGATTTATCCAAGCAACAAGCAATAACTCACGCGATTTAATACATAAATACATTAAAATCACCCCTACAACGGACTCTGGCGTTCTGCAACACCCAAATGCCTCGAGTTATAATGTTTTTCAACGTGTAATAAATGGTTGTTTTCAATACGCCCTCAGCTGCGTCCTCAGCAATTGTTGTTACGAATATGTTGTGCGTGCTGATTTTAGAACATTACATACTTGACTCTCTGAAGGTGTTTTATGTGCACAAGCGATTCGCCTTCAGTTGCGTCTCCAGCAATTGTTGTTATGAATATGTTGTGCGTGCTGAATTTAGAACATTACATACTTGACTCTCTGAAGGTGTTTTATGTGCACAAGCGATTCGCCTTCAGTTGCGTCTACAGCAATTGTTGTTACGAATATGTTGTGCGTGCTGATTTTAGAGCATTACATACTTGACTCTCTGAAGGCGTTTTATGTGCACAAGCGATTCGCCTTCAGTTGCGTCTACAGCAATTGTTGTTACAAATATGTTGTGCGTGCTTATCTTAGCTCATTACATACCTGACTCTCTGAAGGCGTTTTATTTGAGAAAGTAGAGCACCCTGTCGGAGAACAACAGAAGTGAGATCGGACTAATCTCTCAATCCTTACTTCGTTAGTTCTCTGACAGATTGCGTTACTTGCGCACATAAAACGCCTTCAGAGAGTTGAGTATGTAATGATCTGAGATCAGCACGCACAACATATTCGTAACAGCAATTGCTGCAGACGCAGCAGAAGGTGAGTCGTTCAGTTTCTGGAAAGAGTATACAAAGGAGTCTGCATGCAACGGGAATCTTCCCAGAGGTTATCGAGCAACTGACACCTAACATCTCTTCATCAACGCCCTGCCGCCATCCCTTCACGGGACGTCACCCCGTCGCTTTTTCCCAGGTGCTACCCAATCCAAAACTTGTTTGGGTCATACCACACTACCTGCCTGGGCATGACATCATGCATGATATCACTTTTAGTGATTTAATAAACCCTTTAAAAATACCTGCCTCTGAGTTTCTGAGTAATTTCTTCAAATTATCAAATTATTTTTGCACACGATATAATTGACAGTTTGTTAAATGCAAGGACAATGAAGACTCTGGCTCGAACTATAGGCACTTTTCGAGCTCCACCAGAGTCAAACTGTTCAGCTTCCCTATTTTTATGTCAGGAAACCGCGTAGAGCCCGGAACAAATGGACGTAGTTCTACCAAAGAGACCTATGTGGAAGTGAGAAATATGGGGTGTGCTCGTTAGTCTCTGGCCGTAAGAGTGAATGAGAATAATAAAGCGCCAGTGACGTCAGCGGCGATGATGACGCCCGGGAGCGAGGGGAAGAACGTCGTCGGGGCGCTGTAACTCATGAGCCCTGTCCACAACGCTTTCTTGCCATGCCCGCGGCTCATGAGTTCCGCACTCAGCTGCACATAGGTCTGTTTGATAGAATGCAATATCCCGCTTTTCCAATTCTTCAAAAGGAACCACGCCCACTTTTACATTGCTTCTTATGCAGATTTCTAGAGCACACCCCACATTTCTCATCGCCACATAGGTCTGTTTGGTAGAAATACGTCCAAATGACGGTTTCATTAACGGTGCTGAAACATGATCCATGCTGGGAAATAACGTCTTCTAATTTTGTAAACGTCAGAAACTCGTTTTAAATGCACTGCAGATTTGTAAACTGACGTCAGCTAACAAAAAATCTCAACGTCAGGGTTCATTCACTTTGAGGCTTTTTCTGCGCGTTGAAAAACATTTTGAAATCAAGACAACACATGAAAACGCTCCACGTGGGTCTGAACTTGTAAATACAGATATCAATCGAGTAATGGAACTTTATAATAACCTCCAAGAAAAAGCAATTAAGTGAATTCTTATAAATAGCGCAAAAACTGAATTAAATAAGAAAATAAACTCTGACCACATGCAGATCATTTTCATTACTTCAAAAAAGTTTCATTGTCGAACGAGGAAGCTTACATTTTCTCATTCCTTGCTGATTTTATTTCTTTATTTATTTCCATTACGTCTCTCATTCATCGGGGTGAACTTTTGCCAGTAAATTTAAACGGCGCCTTTCACGCATGACTAGCAGTTTGGATGAGGAACTTATAGGTGCCTTCATGGTTCCCTGTATTCAACACGGACATCAGCTAAGCTGAAATAGTTGCGTTCTCAAGTGATGAACGCATTTTGTTCGTTCGTAATGCCACTCACTTTTCAATGCAAAAATACGCGGCCACAGAAATGAAGAACAGTTATTGTTCTTCATTTTACAGGAAAGGACGGTTATACGAATATTTTATACACATATTGAAACGATTGATAATTCAATGAAGAGAAATGGGGACTATTAATTTTAGCATAAATTCTCTGTTGATTTAAATACTTGAGCCTGCTTTGCCAGGATGATACAGGATTATCAACTCCTATGGTTGTAGGACATTTCGTCAACGATTTTTTGTCCGAGCACTTGTTCTTTCTAGTAGTTTAAGTCCACGCGTTTTTTCGGCACGGGAGTTTTGGTCCACTTACCAATTATTGAGACCCAAAGTTAATTGGTCAACATGTAAATACAAACAACATTTGCTCACGGCGTTTTTGGATGAAATGTATAATGTCTTGGAAGAATGAGGGTTTGCTCGTTTTTTTTTGTTTAGTTGGCCAAACGGAAACAAATATATACTTGAGAATTTTGGCGTCAATGGAGATGTTGCATGAGTGAGGAATTTGCGATTTGACCATTGATTCCTATCTAAAAGTTCGCGAGAAACACGATGTGACCGCTGGTTTTCTCTGAAATCAACTCCCAAGCTCAAAAAAAGCTCTCAAGTTGAGGCCAAAATGGCGGGGATATCCCACGCTATTCTGAGAGTCCACCTCTGCATCAAGACAAACTCTCCATGCAAAGATAGGGAGCAAATATATTGACAGGGCTGCCACCTTATTTGGGGACTCTAAAACTGAAAACACGGCAACCCTGCTAATGTATTTGCTCCCTATCTTCGCATGGAGAGTGTGTCTTAATGTAGAGGTGGACTCTCAGGATAGCGTGGGATATCCTCTCCATTCTGGCCTCAACTTGAGAGCTTTTTTGAGCTTAGGAGTTGATTCTCAAAGAAAACCAGTGGCACCATCGTGTTTCTTGCGAACTTTTACATAAGAATCAATAGTCAAATCGCAAATTCTTCATACGTGCAACATCTCCATTCCATGAGGGAAAATTCACTAAAACTCTCTACACTGCTTTGGTGTAACAGGACCTAATTATCTTTCAAGAAAATCCCATCTTCTTATACCTGAACCGGATGAACCTTTTGATTTTCCTCAGCTAAAGGCTCTCAGATTTTTCCTGTGTACTTTAACTTCGCGACGGCTCCGGCGTGCCGCGGCGCTTCAAACTTCTAATTCGACATGAAGGTGTTGCACAGTATCATACAAGATTGAAGACACCCCAACGTATCATGATTGATGGCATATTTCAAAAACACGAAGCTCCCTCGCAAATTAAATCGAGTGACGACGAAAAAAAGAGAGCTGTAGTCGAAAAACTTGCTAAGTCCTAGTATCTGAACCCAGCAACGTTTAGCATGATTTTTGAACGTATTAGAGGAAACAGTGGCTTGATTTAAGCAGTCATATGCTCAAATTTACCGCCGAGAAGATTTCTTTATAAATCATTAAAGAAAATAATGCATTTTTTAGAGAAAAAAGGATGCTTAAATAAAAAGAAAAGTCACTTAGATCAAGCAGAAACCCGCTTTCATTCAGCTATTTTATTCT